GCTGGTGGAGGAGCGTGAGAAACGCTCAGCCGCGTATGCCACGCACCACCACCACCATCCACCACCACCAGGCGAACAGTCTACGTTAGTAGCTACCTGCTAAGTGATTGACTTTATTGAATAAAGTCCGTACAGTACATATTATGGTTTAATTTTAATTTTGGTATAACCATAAGCCAAGAGCTCTGAACAACCCCAAGCTGCTAGCTTAACAAATCTCACAGCGCATGCTGTGAGATTCCCGAAAGGGAAACTACGTTGCTTTTTAACGTACAACTAATAGACCTGCGGCCTCAGACACGTACCCCCCCCCCCAAAACACACACACCCATTTGTGAATAACAAACCCGCAGGCGCACTTGCATGCCGCCACACCACACCACACCACACCAATGCACGTGATGCCCTGATGACTACCTCGGGGTCGTACACACGCGGGTTCTTTCTCCTCCTCCTCACCCCCACCCCCACCCCCACCATCACCACCCGGTCCCAATGTTCAGGACGCCGGTCTGGTTCCCCTCCCTGGCCTGCTCCGCATCAAGTGGCCTAACGACATCTACTCGGGGGATCTGAAGGTGGCGGGGGCGCTCATACACACCACATGGCAGGGCGGATGGTGGGTTGGGGGGGGGGAGAGGCCGGTGGACGAGGGGGAGCGGATGGGAAGGGGGAGACATGGAAAAACACCGAAAAAAGGGAGTCTTGGAATTGCAAGGGAGGGATCTTTTCGAAGGGCAGGATGATAATGAGGAGGAGGAGTGGATGGGGGTGGAGGAGGTGGGTGAAGGGCAGGGATGGTTAGTGGTTAGTTGCTGGGTAGCGGTGTGGGCTGGAGGGCCGGATTCGTGGGTGCATGGGGGTGGGTAGGGGTAGTATTCCTCGCCTCTCCCTCGACCCGTTGTAAGACACTCAGACACACGGACAGGTAGGGTACTCCTCGCACCTCGCTCTCCCTTCCCCGCAATGCCCCGGGGGGCTCTCTTGGACACCCGCGTTCACGTTCCCCCACCCCCGGTGGTTCGACTTACCACCACCACCACCACCACTGCCCCCCGTGTCTCACTGTCCAACTCCCCTCACGGACCCCTACGTACGTACGACCCTATGTACGACGTTCCTTCGCCGGCCCCGCCCGTCATCGGCCCACCGTCCTTCCAGCTTCAACGTCATTACGGGCATTGGCCTCAACGTCAATAACCGAACTCCAACCACCTGCTTGGACGAGCTTCTGGAGCGGGCAGCGGCAGAGCGGTCGGCGGGAGAACAAGGTGGGGCCGCGGGGGCCGCTGCATCGGAGCTGTCTGTACGTCCGTCTGTCTCACGAGAGGCGGTGCTGACGGGTATACTTGCCGCTCTGGAGGAAGTGTACGACGTAAGCGATAGCGGCAGGAGTGGGGCAATGGGAGGGGCATGAGAAGGGAACAAGAACGGGGGAGGTGGGGGAAGGGAGCAGCAGCAGCAGCAGCGGCAGCAGCGGCGGCAGCAGCGGCGGCAGCAGGGGCAGCGGCGCGAGGCGGTAGTCATATGCACAGTCGACAATACAAGTGTTGCGACGTACAAAGCAAGGAGAGGGAAGGAAGGAGAGGGAAGGAAGGAGAGGGAGGGAAGGGGAGGGAGGGTTTGGACAGAGACAGGGGGGTGGGGTAGCAGTAGCGGTAGGGGGGTGAGGGTAGGGGTAGGGGAGGGGAGTAGGGGCAGGGGTAGGGGGGTAGGGGTAGGGGGTTGGCGGCAGCAACAGGAAGGGGTTGGCGCCAGGGATGATCAGCCAGTCGCAGGAACGCGGAGCGACATTGGGGGCGGAGGCAGGTGCACCCACAATGTCTTTCACTTACATGTTGTACAATTGTAGTACGTTACGTGTACAAATGTGATATGGGTTGCCCATCGCGTTCTAGTCCTGATATGTTATTATTACTTGTCTCTCTCCTTGATATCCTCTTTTCCTTCTCTACTACATTTCTTATAACACCGTACTTCATGAGCCCATTTCCCCGCGGCCTGCACTCCATCATCGTCAGATCTTCGAGGAGCACGGGTTCGCCCCCCTGGAGGCCGAGTACCTGACCAACTGGCTGCACACTGGCCAGGTGTGTGTATGTATGTATGTATGTATGTATGTATGTATGTATGTACGTATGTATGTATGTGGGGTTACGTTGGGTATGTCGAAGGGGGCGCCAGGGAGTGTAGCCCCGGGGGCCCGGAGGGGTGTGAAGATTACGGCAAACCCTGGACGATACACACGGACACGGAAGCCGAAGCCGGGAGGGAGAGCGAGCGGAAGGGAGGGAGGGAGGGATATTCTCCGCAAACGGGCGACGAGGAATGCATGGTTGGAAATCACCACAGCTTACGCCCCTTCGCCGTCATCATATCACCTGTCTGCTTGGCTTTTCCCTGAGAGCCTCAATGGATTCTCACTTCTCCCCCGCGCCCGTTGACTCGTCTCCGCTTTCCAGCCAGCTTTGTGCACTTTTTACACTTTTCCGCTGAGTTTTCTGTCCCCCTCTGTCCCCCTCGCCGTGTCATCTCGCCTTGCTGTTCTACACCTCCCTCCCGGCGCGCTCCTCCCCCGGTCTGGGGTGCTGTCGGGTGCTGTTTGACCCCGGGGGCTAATATTGATGTTGACCGCTGAGTAGGTGTTGGACTTTGACAACTCGGAGCCGCCCGCGACAAGTCCATCTTCCTCCGCGACCACCACCACCACCACTACCACCACCACTACCACCCCTTCTACCACCGGCAGGAGCACTGGCACCGGCGGGGGCGGTGCGGTTACACGGCTGATCATCCGCGGCTTGTCCCCCTCGGGCTTCCTGCTGGCTGAGGATGTCGAGGGCGGTGCTGGTGTTGCTGGTGCTGATGGTGGTGGTGGTTGTGGTGGTGGCGCCCGTTACGAACTGACACCCGACGGTAATAGTTTGGACATGATGAAGGGCCTTATTCGTAGGAAAGTGCAGTGATGGCACTGGTTGCTGTGGGTGTTGTTGCAGCGGGGGAGCCCCCCCATACCCCCGGGGGGGGGGAATACACCCCCCCGGGGTTGGTATCCTGGAGGGCTTCTTATTATCACGGGATCCCGAGAACCACCGATCGGTTCTTTTCCGAAAAAGACGTGACACAACACCGGGGTAGGGTGGCATCGGAAGGTGAGTCGGCACGTGAGGGAGTGGTGCGCCAAGCAGCGTAGTACACCGCATGCGGGATGAAGTACAAGCATGCAGCAGTGGTGCAGGGGTACGGGTGCAGGGGTGTTTCGCTCTTTCGACCCTTCGAAAAGAGAACCTTTTGCATTTGCAATATTCGAAGATTTAGGGAGTTTTGCTCTGTGTTTATACGAGTTTTTTTTCCTGTTTTGAGACCTTGGTGCGTGTAACAAGAAATACGTTGAAGCGGCCTTAAAAAGAAAGTGAAGGCGGTGAGTGAGAGTAGCCATCCCGGGGCGTGGGTGCTCGCCCACGGATGGATCGGACACCGGACACTACTCTTGGGGAGATTTACAGCTGGGCGGCTGAAGGCGGGGTTTGCCGTGCTGAGAGGGGTTGAGGTCCCCTACTCGGACAGGGAATGAGCCCCCCTCTGGCGAACCTGATTGACACCTCGCAGTGCTTGGGAGATAGGCCGATCAGTTATGGGGTCTGGTCAATGGTCTGGTCAGTGGTCTGGTCAATGGTCTGGTCAATGGTCTGGTCAATGGTCTGGTCAATGGTCTGGTCAATGGTCTGGTCAATGGTCTGGTCAATGGTCTGGTCAATGGTCTGGTCAATGGTCTGGTCAATGGTCTGGTCAATGGTCTGGTCAATCAGGTCGGGTTGTAGCAAACATGCTTCTGTGACATACATACATAACACATATACAGCATATCATCAGTGTCCGTAAGGTGGTTGACTGGACATTCCGTCACTCGTGCTCCATTCTGTTGACTATTGAGGTCCATCCATATGCTATGAAGTGCGGGAATGCGGCTATGCTAATATGTCATTGCATTTGCCCAAGGCAAGCAAAGGAGGCACGGTTCGGCCTATCGACCGAGTCTGCTTTGTTGTATTTCGGCCAGGACTTCCCTTATGTCTTCACGGGGCTATTCGCTATGTTGACCAGACAACTGCCCGCTGTATCATGTTATCATGTATATCAGTAATGGTTTACCCCTGAAAGCACTGATCGAATTGCGCGCCTTCGTGTTGTATGGAAATGCCATGCCCCCTGCTATTTACTCCTTCAGTCGTCCAACTTCTTCAGCTGATTGTAACAACCATTGCTTGCTTGAGGCGTCTTTTGGGGTTTGTCTTCCCTTTTAAGGCTTGAGGCTTAGGCACGGCTCAGCTCAGGGAACCAGATTTGACAGACAGCTGCTGGTCCGCTTTGTTCGCCATGCTTGGCTTTAGCTTTTCCTTTTAAAACTGTGTGTGTGTGTGCGTGTGTGAGGGGAGAGGGGTGTAGGATAAACTCCCGCTGTCATTTAGGGCTCACTCTTTCCCTGTGCTGTACGGCTCACTCGTACGGGCCCTTACGGGCTTCTTAAGACAGAATCCAGAAGAACACAATTCAATCAGGATAAATAAAACGTACTGGCCTGATAAGCAATGCTTAGGGAGGGTAGCGAGGGTCGCGGAAGAGAATGGCCGCCATCTGGATGGCCACCGTGGCGGCCAGTTTGGACCACAAGGCCCCCGGGGTCCTAGGCAGCGAAGCAACCCCCCTCTCCCAGGCATTAAGACCCTGACGTGGGCGGTAAGCCGTGGGCCCCTCTCGCCCCTAACCGCCTCATAACCGGAAATCTATCGTGGATACCTCGACCCGCCGCTCCTTCTCACTAATCCTGCGTGGCGCCGAATCCAGGCCACGAACTGTGTGCGGTGTCATGAGTCCCCTCAAGAAACAGCTGCGTGAAGCACCCGCCGGCAGAGCTGCGCTATCCGGCTGAGGTTTCCCGGAGAGCTTTGGGCACGCGGCTGAGGCGACATACATTCTTATACGGCACGCGGCTGGCAGAGGTTAAGGCCTGACTTCTGCTCCCGGCCGACACGGGTTCAAATCCGCCTGCCGGTTCCTCGGGTGTTTGAGGAGTGTTGAAATGGGAGGTGGCCCCCCCATCATATGGACGATGTAGGTCGTGATAAAATCAACTTGCGAGCTAACCATGAACTAAGTTGATGCGCCGTTGATCCGCTAGATTTGGTTGGATGCTGGTGGTGAGTTGCCGAACCCAACGAATACATTCTGAAGTCGGATGGGGTGACGGATTAGGGTGCCCCTCTAGCAGGGGAGAGCAGGGACTGCCCCGGGAAAGGGGGCCGCTGGCGAAGTTAACCACCCTGTAACAACATACTCCCGCATAGGCCGTTTTCAGGCTGGGTCCCGTCAAAAGCGCAGTACAGTTCATCAGTTGTTCGTTGTTCGTCATCTTAAAAGTCGTTATGAGCGGCCCGGCAGCAATCAGGCCCTGTATGCGTGTCAGGTGGATTTTGAGAAAGCCTTTGATAGAGTGCCCCGGGCAAGCCTGTGGCAGCGTCTTGAGGAGAGGGGTGTGCATGGACCCATGTTGACGGCCCTTAAAGCCAGCTACGAACGTGTTCTCCAACGGGTCAAGGTTAACGGTCGCCTAGGGTCCATCTTTGCCTCTCTGCAGGGCGTGAAGCAGGGGTGTCCCATGAGTCCCAATTTGTTCGGGTTCTTCATTGAGGTTATTGCCGACTACCTTGAAGCGAGGGATGGTATGGACGAATGGTTCAACACACGTGCACACGAATGTCCTGTCATTAATGATCGTCGGTTGCCTCTGTTGTTCTATGCAGACGACCTTACTTTGTTCGCGACCTCGTTGGCACGCCTCCAGTTCTCGCTTAAGCTGCTTATTGAGTTCTGTGCTGCTTTTGGTATGCGCTGCAACGTTCGGAAATGTGAGGCCCTTGTTGTGGCTGCTCCCGTTGATGTCGTTAAGAGGGCGTTTGAGGGGGTGAGGCTCATGCTTCCTCTCCGTACTGATGGGTCGCTTTGGCACCCACCCATGGTTGGTAGTTTACTTGTTCCTAGTCCTATTAACTGGTGTGGTCGCGTTAGGTACTTGGGTCTCTATTGGGGCCCTGCGTCCCCGTTTGCGAGTTGTGTCAACGAACTTTTGGAAGCAGGGCGACGGGCTATGTTCGGTCTAAGTAATCGGTTGGATGAGAACAGGGTGTGGGCTCCTGCCGTTCGGCTTCAAGCGTTCGACACCCAGGTCCGTTCGGTTCTCTGTTATGGTGCTGAGGTCTGGGGTCCTGATAGGATTGTCTCCGTCCTGCGGTTAGGTAAAGGTGTTTTACCCGCTGGTAAGTCATATTTTGATTTGGCTTTGGAAGATGGTATGGTCCAGGTCCAGCGTGACTTCTGTTTACGTTGTGCTGGGCTCAAGCAGGTACCTTACAAGCTGTTGTACAGGGAGCTGTCTCAGTTGCCTTTGCAGTACTTTTGGTTACGCCTTGCGTTGTGTTTCTGGAATAAGATAGTCAAGTCCCGTGGGTCGGTCTATCATGACGTGTTAGTAGATGATCTCCGTCTGGCTCTTCTGTCTGATCTCAAAGTGGATTGCTGGTCGTCTAAAGTGCTCATCATTTTGCGTTGGTTGGGCATGAGTGGCCGGCGTGTGACTCCGTTTCTCAGAAGGTAGATGTATACTCGTCTCAGTTGATTCGAGTGGGTGAGGTTCTGGAGAGGTTATCTGCGTTCCTTTTAAGTGACTGGGATCAGTTCAGCCAAGGGGGTGATCCGCGTGTGTTCCAAGGTAAAGGGGTTTCGCTTTGCAGGTATCATAACTGGATGGGCTCCCCTTCACCAGCAAGAGAGGGCTCCGATCCCACAGGCTATTTGCGTGTTTATTTGCCGGTCAACCAGTTGCGTATGGTTGCCAAATTCCGTCTTTGTTGTTGGCCTTTGGAGGTCAACAAAGGACACCATAGGCCGAGAGAGTGCCGTACGTGTCAGGTCTGTACGTCGGGTAAGGTTGAGGATGAATATCATGTGCTCATGGAGTGTGAGGCGTATACTGAGTTGCGTAATAGGTTTCTGATTAACGTTGAAGATACTGATATGCGCAAGGTATTTCTTAATACCAATCCGAGGAAAATCGCTACTTTCCTTACTGAGGTTTTTGATGAGCGTCAACAGCGTGCTCTGGAGCCTCACGGCTCGTGAGGGCACCCGCCGCGTCGGCGGCGGAAATACTGTAACCACAATACAATACAATACAATAGGCACCCAGCGTGAAGAAAAATCTTTCAGGTGTCAAAGATTTAGGGTACGTCTTTCGGCGTTTTGGCGTGACGGAGTCGTCCTTCCGGTTCTTGCTAACTTATAGATCAATGAAATGCTCCAGCCATCCATGTTTGGGCAAACTTCTGGCGGGAGGAAATAGCCGAGGGTTCCATGTCTATACGAAGGAAGATAGCCACACTGCATATGGGCCTTAATTGTAACTAGATAATGTACAGTGGCGCCAGGAAGCCGTGCGCAACAAGCTGTTATGGTTGGCGCTGTCCTCTGTCAAGGTCCTCCTAGATGGATGGATAGGATGGAATAGCCCCTAACAAGTTAATCAGGGAGCCCTGCCGATCGATGCATGCACCTAGAAGCATATTTTATCAACGTGATTGCTGGAAATAACGGATGCTAAAGATAACTCGGCGCGAGCTGAGCACGTTACACCCACGGCCTAAACGCTTGTAAACAATGTGGACGAGGCTTCATAGTTGAGCTCCTTGGGCCGTTGATGGCTTAAGCGCTTAAAAATTCGATTGTTACAGTGGACCCCGAAGCGCTTGACCCTTGTTAGTTGGAACGTCGAATGTTGATTGCAACGGACAACCTATTACCGAACAAACGAGGGTGCCAACCCGATGTGCGGACACGATGCCCGACGTCCTGCCGGGTTGCCAAAATCTGAATTAGCTAAAGCCAGTCTCAGATGCAGAAAGCTCCTTACATGGCGCCAATTGAACTTGATGGGGTGTTAAAATCAAGCTAGCTAGGTTTGAAGTGCTTGACGTTTCGAGGACAGAACCGAGTAAATTTTGACGCTTTCTTCAGGAAATCCAATTAATTTATCAATGCTAGTTCACGGGCCATGCATGTCGCGAATAGTACCTCCAAGTCGGCTGGTCGCTTGCACCGCAAAGACGAAAAAGCCTGGCGGCAAACCCACCGGAAAGGGCTTCGGAACGCCATCATCTTGCGCATCGCCAGCACCCCAGAAGCAACGCGGATCTGAGCTGCGAATACTCGATGACTTACAGCCGGTGCTTGTCGTTCCCGAATCTGAAATCGATGATAATACGTTTCAATCCTGTCTATTCTATATGAACAAGACGGAAGAGCTATGTGGGCGACTACCGAAGCTGCTAGACCACGAATGGGCTGAGGCGACGGCCCATCGCATCCAGGACTGCGTGTCCCAACCGGTCCTGCTGACCTCACCAACTCACACAACGTCAATTCACATACTCATGGTGAAGCATGACGACTGCTACAACCCAGCGCTTGTCGCCGCTGTCTGGGACCGCGTACAGCCGGATGCCGTGGCTCTCGACGTGCAGCCCCAATATCCCAAGTCCTTCACGCGCATGGCGAAAGCAATGTACCCTGGACTCATGGACAAGCTCCTGTCCACTCCCCTGACTTCCTTGTCCGGCGCCTTGGACCATGCCGACGACTTTGACCGGTACGGCAGTAAGGCCCCAACAGGGCCCAGCTCCAACACCATTATCTTCTGCGTGCGCGCCACCAGCTGGTTCCTTTCCCACCCCTTTCATACACCTGGATCTTTCTCCTTCCGCTCTCACCGTGTTGACGACTGATCGCGCTGCCCCCTCCATCTCCCCCATGCTATTCCCTCTTGCTCCATCTGCTGCTCGCTCCCTCAGCCTGCGTTGGCATCACGCGCTTCTGCAGGTGGTTGGCCAGGGCGCCAGCCCCATCCTCATCTCCCAGGCCGCCCTCTTCAACGTGTTTGCTAACCGAGACTTGCACCTCACTGAGGCCATTGCTGTGGCGCATCTCGCCGTGCAAGGACCTGCGGCAGGGGCAGTGCCAGCAGCAGCAGCAGCAGCAGCAGCAGCTGCTGCTGCTGCTCCAGGGAGGGGAGCAGCAGCCGGCGGCCCGGGGCCCGGGACCGGCAACCGCAGCGGCCCCGTTCACGTTCACGGGATAGACGTGGAGGTGAGGACCATGTCGATGTAGGTGCAGCTAGCGGAGGGAAGCTTTGGAGGGCACATCATGTGCGACATCCATGCACATGAGGTCCGCTAGGGGGGTGTTCCCCCTAGCAGGGGGCATCAGAGGAAATCTGATAGAGGGAAAGAGCGGGATGACTTATTGCCGGTGAAAGTTGACTTTGCGACGAGTTGGCTTTCCACCTGGTATTTTTATAGTGGAATATTGATGGATTGATGGAATCATTATGTGCACATGTGTGCATATCCCGTGCACATGCCGACCGTTTACTACACCAGCATGATCATCACCCCGACATCAGCAACCCCGCAATCTTCCCCTTGCTTCCCTGTCCGGGTGCTTTGAGGTGCCTTCAGGACGCGATCATGCTCCAGGCGTTGGGTGAGGATGATTTCTGGACCGACGAAGACAGTGCGGCGTACAGACGAACGCTCCTGCAGGTCGCGGATCCAAAATTGAGGTCCGCGGTTAGCACGTGGCTGCAGGTCAGAGCGATGTCTGCGACTGTGACTCTCTTCGTCCCTCTCTTTTTTTGTCTGTCCCCTTCTGTCTATCGTGCGCCTGTCCATCGTGCGCCCCCCGCGGTGTCCGTCGTATACGTGCCCCGTTATGTGTCCCTTTCTTTTCTTTGATTGCTCACCACTCGTTCTTACCCTCTGTCGCGCTCTCCCTTTCCCCCTTTCCTAAGCAGCACTTTTTCCTTGCCAGCAGACATTCACTCGCTCGTGGTTCGCCTTTTCCCCCTTGCCTTCCTAACTTCCTGCCTTGCTTTCCGTGCCCGATCCGTGTGGACCTCCTGAGCTGTGCTGTCGTCGCCACCTCGTTTGGGGCTGTCCTCTGAACGTCATCGGAGCAGTTCCTCTCAGCTGAATCCCATCTGGTCTCCCTAGGACCTACCTAGGACTTTGTTTCGTAATCCTGTTTAGGATCCGTTTAGTATCCGTTCTAGGTCTTTGGAAAAAGGAAAAACCTGCTTCAAACTCTTTTCTAGCGCCCACGCCCTTCAGTGACCCTCCTGGCTCCTGTTCTGGGTTGGCGTGGCTGCCGCTACTGCAACTGCTACTATTGCTGCTACTGCAACTGCTGCTGCTACTGCTTCTACTGCTGCCACTGCTACTACTGCTGCCACTGCTTCTACTGCTGCCACTGCTACTACTGCTGCCACTGCTTCTACTGCTGCTACTGCTACTACTGCTGCCACTGCTTCTACTGCTGCCACTGCTACTACTGCTGCCACTGCTACTACTGCTGCCACTGCTTCTACTGCTGCCACTGCTTCTACTGCTGCCACTGCTACTACTGCTACTACTGCTGCCACTGCTACTACTGCTGCCAAATGCTACTACTGCTGCCACTGCTACTACTGCTGCCACTGCTACTACTGCTGCCACTGCTACTACTGCTGCCACTGCTTCTACTGCTGCCACTGCTACTACTGCTGCTACTGCTACTACTGCTGCCACTGCTACTACTGCTGCACTGCTACTACTGCTGCCACTGCTACTACTGCTGCTACTGCTACTACTGCTGCTACTGCTACTACTGCTGCCACTGCTACTACTGCTGCTACTGCTACTACTGCTGCCACTGCTACTACTGCTGCTACTGCTACTACTGCTGCTACTGCTACTACTGCTGCTGCTTCACCACCACCCGCATGGGACATACTCCGCACAGGGCATCCCTGTGGGTACTTCTACATCCGTCCCCCGACAGCGTTTCGTGTTGAGCCGGTTGGAGCAGGCGCTCAGTCGGCAGCAGCTGGAGGAATCTTTTGTGAGCGCAGCAGCTGGTCGGGTGGGGGGAGGGGGTGCTAGGGTTACCGGGCTGCAGGCGGCCGGGTAATGGACGGCCGGGCCGGGTGGGTAGCATGGATGGATGGATGGATGCTGCTGCTGCTGCTGCTCCCGTTCAGACGCGAGGTGCAGGAATGCGCGCACTGGAGGGTTGGGCGACGTGGGACTCGAACGGCCGTTCGGCCTTGTGTTCGTTCTTGTGTGCCCTCTCACGGCCCCCACGTGCTGCAGGTGGCTCACGAGGCCCACTGTATCGCCCACTCTGAACCGCGAGTACGCGAGCACCTGCGGCTGCAGGGGCTGCAGACAGCACATCACCTGGCTCGCCTGCGGGACATCGCCTCGGGTCGACTGGGTGGTCGCAGGTGCAACCGGATCCTGGCGGTCATGAGCGCAGAGCATGCCTTGAGGCTTCGGCGGCTGGCGGAGGCGCCGGGGGAGGCCGTCGGCCCTGCTCTTGTTGGAGGCACTGGATGAGAACAGGCTTCACACCGCCACCTTGTCCACGGAGGCCTCCGTATGTAGATCACAGAATCACAGACAGATCATTGCCAGGCCAAATGTGTGTAGGCGGCATTACGGTAACCGACAGACCGTCCTATGGAACACACCCAATAGTAGGTTTTGGCCTCGGTAGGGTTACCAGGCTTTACCCTATACCGATGGGTCACCCTACCGTTAGGCTACCGGCTACCGTACCAATCGGTTACCGGCCGGGGGACAAAACTCGGTTGACCGTAATTGATTGTAATGGAAGGTGCTTAACCATGCATAAGAAGTGCCTTGTCTACACCTGGTTCAGTGAGGCGAGCGACCAGACCTGGATGCTGAGCTGCTGCGTGCTGCTGTGCTGCTGTGCTGGCTGGCTGGTCAGCGCGCAGCACGTCAAGGGGCCCCGCCGTGTAGGATTGCCCCCCGCCGTGTGGCTGTGTGGCCTCGGCTGTAACGACCAAACAGGATATCTCGCCCCGCTAAAGCGTAATATCGAAAGTCGTTACTAACGAATGTTAGTAACATTCCATATTGTATGGCATTTCGCCTGTAACTGACGGAATTATTCGGATGAGCACAAACAAGTTTGGCTGCGTTCCATGGACAGAGGTCAAGGTCGCATCAACGTTTCTCGCGCTATATATACTTTGGTCCGCATCCATCTTCACCCGTCGGAGGGGTTGCAGCGGGTACCTAATCCTTTAATCCAGGGGTTGGGTACCGGTCAGCCATCCTCTAGACCCAGCAAGGATGGTCCGCTTCTAAGTCCCTATCCAGAGTGGGGGTCACATCCATATCCACATCCCGAGGGACGGAGATCTAATCCATATCCCGTTGCAGCACCCTTATCCTAATCCTGTCGGGGGTCCCAATCCCCACAAACATGTGGCTTTCCAGTCCAATAACACAATACCACCCACATGCACAGAAACCGAGGTTCAGGGGATTCCAACACGATCCGGCTTTGTCAGATGACTATTGGACTGTAGTAGCTGGCCGCTGAAAAGGCCTCTCGAGATGCTGGTGGTCGCGCTTAGCGCGTAGCGCGTGTAGAGCCGTACTGTGTACCAGCTACCACATGGACCTAGAATGGGCCATTGCTTCCACACAAGTACATTGCAGTGCGCGCGCCGCATTTCCTCCCGGGTGTCAAAGGTCCTCACCTGTCTTGACCATATTTTTTTCATGTAAACTGATTGTAAAGCATTGTAGCGTACAGGATAATAATTTAATTTAATGACGCAACCATTCACGCTAGTGGTGTGCCCTACATAGCAGCTGTGCCTTCCTGGTGGCCATATTATTCATTCATGCAATGATGCATGCTGAATTGTAATATCACCCCGTACGAGGGATCGCATCCAATCCATGGAAACGAGGCGAACCATCGGTTCACCGTCGACACTTGCACCAAAGAAGAGACCTCCTAGGCTATACGGTGCTCGAGGTTTTCATAGCTATGATATACAGCCGCCCGATATGAAGGACATGCCCACGAAACAGCGCGGAGTCAATAAATTTAAACATCAAAACAAATAATGTTAGCAATTCTCACGGCGCCGTTGCGTACATTTCATCTATTTTCACCCTATGAAGATACACAATCGCGACCAGAAAACTGACTTGGGGAAAGGGATGGAGGGGGGGCAAGGGGGTTTGTATGGAGGGGTGTCTGGAGGGGTGTATGTATGGGGAACACCCAGATGGCGTCTTCATGGCGATCCTTTTCTTTCGTTTCATTCTTTCGTTCTTTTGCACTGGAGGTGCCTTAACTATCGTACAGTGCAAACTTGGGAAGGGCCTTATGAAGGCCTTTCATCATCTTGTCGCGCTCCATTGCATTAAGGCGAGGTCAATCAGGACAGCGTATCTGGATCCAGAGGAGGAGGAAACGGAAGCGCGTTAGCGTAGCTCTTTTCGGCCAGCTGTGCGTGCGTGCGTTTGGTTGTGTTTATGGGTGGGTGAGTGGGTGGGCGCATGCGTGGGTGAGTGTTTTTTTCAATGAACGGAGGCGACAGGCATAAGGGCTGGAGATGGGCTGGAGAAGCCGCGTGCGCAGTCTTACCGAAGCAAGTAGTCCAGTAATGCAATGGCCTCTTTCAATTGTTGATATTGTTGATATTGTTGATATTTACATACGTGTTCCATGCATTCCACGGCCATCTATGGCTTGTTACAAGCATACCTTTGCCGTACATTTCTTTGAGTATCCCAGTATCCGAGTTCGCTATCCATGCACGGCATCCGAGCGCTTGATGGCTCCCCCATGGACCTGGTGGGGCCTGATGGCAATGGATTTTGCAAACCTACTGCACACGTTACTCGGCACTGAGCGGGCCGGTACGATGCACATGTGTATTGGTTTGCCTATATATTTTTCAGATTTACAAACATTTGCACCCCCTTGCGACTTGCTCGCGTGGTGTAGTGGTCATCACTGTGGACTTTGAATCCACCAACCCGAGTTCGAGTCTCGGCGCGAGCTTCGCGCCCTCGGAATAATCTTTTGAGTCGGTTTTTTAGCAGTTAGTTATAGATTTTTTGGCGAAGTTCTTATGAAAGTTGGTATGCCATACCACTAGCACGAAAGGAAGCCATTGGCCGAGGTAGCTATGCTACGATAGACTTACTGTTCATGTGAACAGGATGCGAAGCTCAAATTGGAATGACCTTATCCTTGTAATAATATATAATAGATTATGCTAATATACATTTTCTCATAACAAGCATCACAGTGAAGCAACGGTATAAGGAGAATGAAGTCACTCCAAGCAAAGGGGCCACACCGGACCACATTTGCGACCACACCTCGCTCAGTAGCAGTGCTCAACCCTTGCCATGGCCCAGTTCCCTTTCGGTCCCATGCACGCTTGACCTTTGCGAGCGCTTCCTCGGCGACCAAGGATGCGCCGACAGCCAAGCAGCAGAAGCCGAAGCAGGCGCGTCCTGAATGTACCAGCGTTCAGCATAGCTTGAGTCTTTCCATGTTAACTGCTACAATCCCTGAGGAAGTGTTGTCGCTGGCTCGACATCGCTTTCAGAACGAGGCCCCTTACTAAGACCCTGCCCTGGGTCCTCATGTTCAGGGGGGCGGAGGAGGCAAGGCGGTGGAGGCCGCCGTGACGCCCCGAAGCGAGGACTTTAGCAAGTGGTACCTGGACGTGGTCGCAAAAGCCGAGCTAGCTGACTATGGGCCCGTTCGCGGTAAGTACCGATGTACATCGTCCCGGCTCTGGAGTCCCATTTTTCTTTGTCTCCGCGAAAGCTGTGCGTGTCTTCTGCAAACCGTCTACTTTCTGTCAACAAAGCGCCGCGCATCACCGCCACAGGCACCATGGTTATCCGGCCGTACGGCTATGCCATTTGGGAAACCATCCAGTCATACCTGGACGGTCGCTTCAAGGAGCTCGGCGTCCAAAATGCCTACTTCCCGCAGCTCATCCCCTACTCCTTCATCACTAAGGAAGCAGAGCACGTGGAGGGCTTTGCACCCGAACTGGCGCTCGTGACCAAGGGTGGGGGGGTGAGGGATGGGGGCCCGAGGGGGATGGGGGCACATGCCGCAGGCACGTGGTGTGGGCATGCATCGGGTCCGGGGCGTCGTCCTTTTCCCGCCCCGCTCTCCCCATTTCAAATCCTTTCCTCCCCTCACAATATCGCCACTCCACCACCACACCGCCCCTACGGGCCTGCTTAGTCCCCACATTACCCCAGCCCTCGCGCCTTCTTGCCTCTTCCCTCTTCCCCATCCGTGGGCCCCTTCCCGTCGCGGCCATAACCGTGCGACCATGTCTTGCCCGGGATCAGTCGCCCCACGCGGCATTTTCCGTCTCTCTCCCTACCCTCCCCCTACAAGTCCGACTTTCTGACAGCGGACTCATCAGCGGACTCCTATGTATCGCATTTCTCCGCTCGAGGTTTCCTTGTCTCCCAAACCGCCGGCGACGTCTTTCCTTTTCCTTCCTTTTGCATACTAGAAATGACCCCTCACCCCCTTCCCTCTTTTCCCTTCTGTAACCCCTCTACGTCCTTTGCTCCCGTCTTCCGTCAGCAGTTGTTGCCTTGAAGAACTCCCAGCTCTTGGCTTGGCCTAGGGTTTTTCCCCCCTTCCTTTCCCCCCTCCTCCTCACCCGTCCTCACCCCTTCTCTCCCCCCGCCTCACCCCCTCCTTTCCCCACTCGCTCGTGGTCCGTCTTTCCCCCCTCCTTTCCCCCCTTCCCCCGTTTGGAAGCCGCCAGTTCATTTCTGGTTTCATTGCAGCATGTGAACCCGCCTCCCCCCCCTCCCTCCAGGCGGTGGTAAGGACCTGGAGGAGCCCCTGGTGGTGCGCCCCACCAGCGAGACCATCATCAACCACATGTTCGCCCAGTGGGTGCAGTCCTACCGGGACCTGCCCCTGCAGCTCAACCAGTGGTGCAATGTACACCGCTGGGAGATGAGGACGCGGCCCTTTGTCAGGACGCTGGAGTTCCTCTGGCAGGTAAGGGGAGGGGGGAAAGGGAGGCGGGGAGGGAGGGGGTGGAGGGAGGGAGAATTCAGCTATTGTTTTGAAGAATATGCCACATGCTGGAAAGAAAGAAAAACCTGCTAACGTGCAAAGTACGTGGAGGGGTGGCAGCACTGTGAGCCCGTCCTCCGCACCCGCTGTACCATGTACATCCCCGCCGTACGGCGTCGTACCCGCATGAAACCCACAACACACTTCCCCGAACACACTGACACAGGAGGGTCACACGGCGCATGCGACTGCAGAGGAGGCGGAGGAGGAGGCGAGGCGCATGATCGACGTGTACACGGACTTTGCGATCAACATGGCTGCTATGCCCGTGGTTCCGGGGCGCAAATCTCGCATCGAGTCTTTTGCTGGTGGGTGCCGGTCCACTCCCACGGACTGTCCCTGACAGCTGGTCGGTGGATGGCTTTGGGGCCCCCGCCATCCTGAAATGTCCTGGACTTCATCAAACCGTTACAAAGTTGTGCAATCAGCATGTGATTCCCCCTCTCCCTCATCCCCCTCTCCCGCGTCTGCCGCAGCAGTCTTCCATTGGCATCAGCTTCACGCGCTCCTGGTTCGTCTTTCCCCCCTTCCCGCCTCCGAACACTCCCTCCCTCCCCCGGGCTCCCAACCCCTGCAGGTGCCAACTGCACGTACACAATCGAGGCCATGATGGGGGACCGTAGGGCCCTACAGGTAGTGGGGGTGGGAAGAGGGGACGGGAGGGGGGGAAGAGGGGAGGGGAGGGGGGGAAGAGGGTGGAGAGGAGGGGAGGGTGGGAAGATGGTGGGAAGGAGGGGAGGGTGGGAAGAGGGTGGGAAGGAGGGAAGGGGAGGGGAGGGTGGGAAGAGGGGAGGGGAGGGGAGGGTGGGAAGAGGGGAGGGCAGGGTGGGAAGAGGGTGGAGAGGAGGGGAGGGTGGGAAGATGGTGGGAAGGAGGGGAGGGTGGGAAGAGGGTGGGAAGGAGGGAAGGGGAGGGGAGGGGAGGGTGGGAAGAGGGGGGATCGTGGGCTCTCCCCCACTCCCATTCCCGTTCGGGTCCTGGCGTCTGGAGTCTTACCTTCTCTATCCCCCCAACCACCAACCAACTCTGTACGTCACCCTCCAAACCCCCTAAATCCACATTCCCCCTACGACACGCCACGCCACCGCCCCAGGCCGGAACCTCCCACAACTTGGGCACCAACTTCGCCAAGGCCTTCGGTACCCAGTACCTGAACCGCGAGTCCAAGAGGCACTTCGTCCACCAGACCAGTTGGGGCGTGTCTACCCGAGTCATTGGCGGCATCATCATGACGCACGGTGATGATAAGGGGCTGCGGCTGCCGCCCCGCCTGGCGCCTGTACAGGTACTAACGGCGTGACGTTACGCTGTGACTGATTGGCGTCAGTTACAGCGTTACCTCGGGGGGTTGGGTCGGTTCGATGTGCGTTCCTTAAAGTTGTTTTCCCGCTTCTCACGTTTCTCCTAGGCGAGTTGGTTTAAGCTTTGTTCCTGATCCACCATATCTCCCTTCCTTGGCAGTTGGACGTTGGACGTTGTGCTGCTCGTCATCGTGTTATGTTTCAATCGTTCCCCGATTCCCACCTCCGCCCTAGTTAAAGCCGAAGTCTTAGCTTCTTCGTCTTCTTTTCCTTCTTCTTTTCCTTCTTCTTTCCTTCTTCTTTCCTTCTTCTTTCCTTCTTCTTTCCTTCTTTTTTCTTTTCTTCTTCCTTTTCTTTCTCCTTTTTTTCTTCTTCTTTTTCTTCTACGTCTCTTCCTCCCCATCCTTCCCTGCGTCCTCCACCTCCACCATCACCTCAATCCGGCAGGCTGTGATCATCCCCATTGTCAAGAAGGAGGAGGACCGGGTACCAGTCAACGAAGCGGCCCAGAGGCTTGCAGAGGCGGCCAAGGTGGCGGGCATCAGGGTTAAGGCGAGTTCGCGGGCGAACACCTGTTCTGTCCGTTTGGATGGCTCACCGGCACCTGAAGACCTGTTGGGACAAGACGATGGCTGGGGGGTTGGGATGATAGACGCCGGGTGGTGACGGGGTGCTGTGAACGGGTTGCAGAGGTGGTCGGGTGGGATGGTGGGGGGATTGCGGATGGGGGTAGGGGGCTCGGGAAAGGTCATCTTCGCACACGTCAGGCGCGGCCGGTGGCGGCCCCTTCTCTTCGAGGCCTCGCCACATGTCCTTAAGGAAGCCCTTCATTTCTCCCATGGGCGTCTTCATGACTCCCGTGCTCCATGTGCAAAGCAGGCCTTAGTCGTGCCTTGTTCCCCTTCCGGCTCCTTGAGCGCCCTTCATCCGCTCCCTTACGCAAAACAACCACTTGCGAACCCCAGATCGATTCCGACGAGCGGCAAACTCCTGGCTGGAAGTACAACTACTGGGAGATGCGGGGCGTCCCGGTGAGGCGGGGCCCGGGGGGGGGTAAGACCCGGTTACCTCCTGGTCTACATCGGTGGGGGGTGCGTTCACACAGATATAGGTTTCCGGTGTGGGGTGATGGTGGGGGCTGTCTGGAATATCACCGCCACATTGAGGTAACGTAAAGCGAATGAGCTGCGGTATTGTTCGTCTCTCTTTCTGTCTTCTGAGTTCCTTCTAAGTTTTAAGGGAGCTATGCAGTACATACGTACGTACGTACGGGGACTCTTGGCGTCCACGAGAGTGCGCAGCAGCAGCAGGCCCCTACCACGTACGGCGCTGCTGTTGCTACTGCTGTCGTTTTTTTCCGGTTTTCCTCGTTCTTCAGCCGCCTCAGCGCAGCAACCGCCTTCTCAAGCGCGAGGGAAGGGGACGGTGCCTAAGTGGGCCCCTGCCCAACACATCTGGCCCCCACCCCAATACCCTATCTGCTCCATCCTCAAAAGGCCACATCATTGCTTCATGGGTTTCTGGAATCGCTAATGGTCCCCGAGGGGGCAATAAATTTCCCCCACGTCACAAAGCCCTACGTCCCGGCCGCCTGATGGGAGTGCATTTCCTCTTGCGCGGGCTGGGTTTTGCGTTTGGGGCTTCATGTAAGTCTGTCTGTCTGTCCGTCCCATCAACCGTCTCCGCATGTCCTGGTCTCTCCGATGTAGAAGCCTAGAGTCCCTCCCGCGGCGGGCGCTCTCCCCCCACCCCCCGAGCGCACTTTCCTTGGCCGCAGCTTCACGCGCTCGTGGTTCGTCTTTTCCCCCCACCCCCGACCGGCCCAAACCCCCAACCTGCTGTGTGCAGGTGCGGGTGGAGGTGGGTCCAAAGGACGTGCAGAGCGGGACCTGCGTTACAGCTCGTCGCGACATGCCAGGCAAGGGCCCGGGGGAAGGAAGGGGGCCTGGCGGGAAGAACATAACTAAGGCGGGAAGAGGGGGGTATGGCCGGGGCCCGGGGCAAGGAGGCGGGAAGAGGGGGGTTAGGTTCCGGTGGCTGCTGGGGGTTTAGGGCTAGGGTGGGACTTACGTGGAAGGTAACAGGGATAAGGGTAGGTTTGGAAGAGAAGGTCTGAGAGGTCTTAGGGGGAAGAGGGCGGATAGGGGAGAAGAGACGCCCCGTTGATGAGTCGACGGGGTGTCAGGTAGGGGTCCCTAGTTGTTCCCGCAAACCCTTCCGTTAGGAATCCTGTTTTTAAGTGTTCTTTTGATTTTTACATTTACGTCTTGTGTTTGTTTTGAGTGCACATGAGGATGCCTGTTTGTATCTCTCTGCGGCTGTGTTTTTGCCCGCCTGTGAATATCTGTCTGTCTGTCTGTCTGTCTGCCCGTCTGTGTTGCCATTGTTCACACAGGCAAGGAGGGCAAGCAGATGGGGGTGCCCATGGAGTCGGCCGCCTTCGTCGCTCACATCAAGGGGTTGTTGGAGGAGGTGCAGACGGGTCTTGCAGCGCAGGCAGCCGCATTCCGTGACGCCAACATCGTGGACGTGCGCAACTACGAAGAGCTCAAGGAAGCCATTGCCGCTGGTGGGTAGCTTAGATGCTACTCTCAATTACTGTTCTGCTGTTATTGCCATGGTTGCTGCTGCTTTAATGTTATTGTTTTTGCTGCTGCTGTAATGTTATAGTTGTTGCTGCCGTCTTAATGTTGATGGGGTGTTACACTGTGGGCGGCTCGCCCGATAAAGGACGAGCACCGGGGGCCCTGACCGGGCCGAAACACAGCACAGGGATGGGCGCGCGGCTCTACGTCGTAATGTTGTTGTTATTGTTGCAACCCAGGCAAGTGGGCCCGCGGTGGGTGGGCTGCCAGCGACGAGGAGGAGAAGCGCGTGAAGGAGGAGACCCAGGCGACCCTGCGCTGCTTTCCCTTCGACCAGCCGCCCGGGCCTCACACGTGCCTCATGACCGGGCAGCCGGCCAACGAAGTGGCCATTTTCGCCAAATCGTACTGAAGTAAACACACCGGGGTAACCTGCCGGCTTTCTTTTTGCGAAATCGGACATCTTTTGCGGGACTTGAAAGGTCACACAGCGCTGGACTATGGTTTTCTTTTCCGCTACCCTTTGTGCTCTCCTTTACAAAGAGCCCTGTCGTATCTTGGCGCTCATCAAGTAGTGCCAAGGAAGTGTAGTGCACCGAGAACTGGGACATTGCACAGTCCTCCTCAATCTTTGAGGTCAGGGGAGGACGTGGTGGATTTTTTCTATAGCCGCAGTGTACCTGGTGAAAGGTACTACGCAGGGCGCATGCAAGATTTCTTAGCCTGGAAGCCGTAGGGAATGCCTGAATTAGTTGGCCAAGGTGAGGTGTGCTGAGGGCGAAACAGTCGTGTGTTGTGAGCCGTGAGTAGTATGCAGTGCTGTATGCTGTATTCGTTCGCGTATGCTGCCGCCGAGCGGTAGAGGGTCTCGGGATGCTCGAGTGGTGATGACGGTGATCCGGGAAACATATGCGAGAGCGTCTGCACCTGAATGGTTGGGAATGAATGTAGGACAGCACAGGTGATAATGCTGTTTTTCATACCTTTTCCATGCCTTGCACTCTGGCAATTACACTAACAACCTCTGCGTTCCGGCTGAGTCTTCAGCTTTGGGGTGTGGATTTTGTTTTTGGGTGACACGAAGCGCCTTTCGGAGCTCCGCGGCCCCCCCCGGGGTTCACTGCTGTCAGTCGGTCAGTCAGCGTTGTGTCTTGGGTCGCGAGAACATCGCAACGAGCCTAGGGCGAGTGCAGCGCGTAAATTTCTGTTATGTTTCTCTTCCCTGAAGCAAAATTCCGCACAGCATTGTTTGCATTGATTGGTGATTACAGTTAAACTGAGCGGCCTGTTTCATGCTTGCAAGGGAAATTTGTGGAGCATCTGTACGATGCCCTTATGGATTTTAGGGTTTTGGGGAATCATCTTTGCCCTGTTTATTTGGGACACGTTTGCCGTGCTCAGCTCGGATGCAAGTTGCCGAAACGGCCGACTGATCTCAACCCTTCAACCATCCCGTGATTGTGGCAAAAGCCTAAAACAACAGCCGGGGAAGATTGACTCCCTCCCACAGATCACAGACGGATATCAACCCGGAGGTGCGCGAACAACGCTGCACGTGATCGACCTCCCATACCTTCTGACGGAGATGCGGATCAAAAGCCACAAGCCAGGTAAACCACCAACGACCGCAAACCGCCCGCACGTCCCCCTCAATCCGCGCCCAAGCCAGGCTTGCTGCTCCGGCGTGAACCCTACGTTATCAGCGCCTTACAAAACATGTGCGTCTTCCGCCGCTGCCATCCGCAAAGCCAAGTCAAGCCATACCTGCACCCGCACACATGCTGCTAGAGGTGCAAGGGGATGAAAAAGAATGAAGATATCGCCGCCACAGCTCCGCAGAGGCACGCACAATAAACCCTGGCTACAATAAGCCCGTGACTGAACGGGTTGGCAAACGCCAACACATCCCACCACCACCTTCCCTAGCCCGGGCTCGAGAGGGGCCACGCATAGGCCACGCATACATCCTCGCGCTGCGTGCCCTCCTGTGCATCCTGGTACACCCGAGCTGTACACACCTCACCTTGATATCCTGAAACCAGAATATCAGAGGCCCAACAGTCCAAAGCAAACAGTCGCGGCGCCAAGCGATGCAACTTCATGCGCATCACACACTACGCCACTCCTTGTTCTTCCTTTCACACACCGTTCTCAACAATCGTCTGCGCGTCCATGTGTCCATCCGTCCGTCCATCTCCGTCGAGGTGCATCACATTAAGTCGTCGTGTCCCGTTGTAGATTGCATATCTTTCCACATTAAATGCAACGCACGAGATTCTCTGTGCTCTTCACCACCGTGCTCGCAACCTAAAAATGAGCATCAGAGGAAACAGACCAGAAAATGACCCACTGACGTCCACCGGGGGGGGGGGGGCAAAGAAGATGCACCACGGCTGCCGCTCTCATGAAGCCCCTTTCCTAATCAGGCTCCTCTCCCTCTCTCCCTCTCGCACCTTCCCTTCCCTCGAAGCTTCAGAAGGACAGACATAAATGAAGACACATACACACACACACACCAGTTCACGTAATCTCTCGGCAACTCCTAGGAATAAACCTTCAGGCCCCTGCCGACGCGGAAAGGGAGGAAAGGAAGTCATGCCAGCAGAGAGATCGACCTCTGCCATCGAAGTAGCCTCCGGTCTTGTTGCCCGTGGCCTCCCCCAGATGCCGCCGCCGCCGCCGCCACCGCTACTGTGTTCTTAAAAACGTGCCTCCTATGGATCGCGCACCCATCTCCATATCACTTCTTCGTGTTTTTTCTTCCCTGCACATGCGCTAGCTCCACCTTCCTCTTCCAGCACTCCTCTCCATCACTCGCCCACACCATCTCCCTACGCATGCGCTGCCATACGCCCAGGCTGTATTATGCAGCCCACCAACACAACCCCCGTTCAATTCCAAATGTCGTCCAGCGCCGTGGCTTCTCCCTTCTGCAGCTACCTCCGTTCTCACCGCGCACCCCAAGACAAGGCTAGATGCGTCTTCTCGCTGCAACCAGGCTTCCTCCCTCTTATGACGAAGCCTGTATGCGGCGCCTCCGACCTGCTGCCCTTAGTTGTTGGCAGCCGCCGAGGCCTTCCGTGCCGCGAGAGCTGCCTTGACAATGTTGCCGCGGCTGATAAGGCCCACGAGCTTGCCATCGGAGTCCACAACTGGCAACCGCCGAATCTTCTTTACGATGAGGATACTGCGTAGGAAACCATAATGGGCGGACAGGAAAAAGAACAGGGCAACGGTTATAGGAGCTATCGTTGAAAAGACAAGGTTTGAAACCGTGGAAGGACGTGGCACCGCTAGACATGCGTGCAGCTATAGTCTACGCCTCGGCGTGGCTGGGGGTAACCCTACCTCGAATTGAAGTGATGCTTCAGGACAGTTGAAAATCATGACATGCCCAATATCATCGCTATCCAAATTGCCGCACATACAGTCAGCAACGTGCGGTTTCCCGGGAACACGTGTCGTTAAGGTGGTGCAGTAACACGGTCCGGAAGTCAGACGCCCCGGTACAGCTGCGGCACACATCACGAAAATGCGTCTTGCCTTCGCAAGCTTTAATCGCGCAGGCTGCAACAAAACCTAGTCAAGGGCAGCACCGAGCCCGCAGCCACAGCATCCGATCCAAAGAAAGGGTCTGGCACACTCTTCCCGAAAACCAAAAACCCTTTCGCCAACAAGGCCACAAGCACTACACTCACTTCGTGGCATCCTCCAAGTTGGTTTCGGGCCTTACGGTGATTGGCTGAACCGTCATCACGTCCTTGATCCTGCGGGAAGAAAGTTTACACAGTCAAGGTGACAGAATTTTTTTGTACACGTTAGACAGGGATTTTTAAGGGGTAGTGAGAGTTTCACGAATGTGAAACGGTCGCTCACGAGGGGACCTCATTACACGGCACGTGTAGTGAGGCACGAGACCTTAAAAGGGCCGAAAGGAAAAGAGAGCTGTGCTCTATCCCGCGCGCTTTCCCAGGTTGAATATGTCGTTACAGTCCCCGGTGCCCGCTCACTTCTTTCCGGCGCTCTTCGCCAACATCTTCTTGACCTCCTTGAATGCCTGTGTGTGTGTGGGGGAGTGTGCGTGGGACGTGCGCGAGGAAGTGTTTTCATTGCAGGGATGTAGTACTGCCAGAAGAGCATACTTTGGCACCTGCTTAGGCCTGTCCAAGCATAGTTGAGCCGTCTCAGCGCAACGTGCCCTTGCTTTTTGAAGCGACACGCGACAACTGAATACGCATTTTTGGTAAAGGAAGCCCCAGCCCCGAAACCAATCCATCCCCCTTCCTCCAGATGTTTGTTGAGTTACTAAATTACAAGAAAATGGCTCCTAGCACAGCACCATAACCCCGGAAAGAGCACAGAGCTCCTCATAAGAGGTACCTGACACCTTATTTCCCTTCACATTGCACGCACCCCCTAAAGAGCCCTAAAGGCTATCGACGACGTGCCAAACTTTTCCCAATGTCGCACGGAAGAGAGAGAAGGAAATGACGGGGTTGGAACAAGAATGGCCTCGCCTAGGTACAAGAATTGCTTTACCAAAGCTAGCTGTGCGTATCTATCTATCTATCTATCTATCTATCTATCCATCCATCTATCTACAATGGGCCAGCACTCGTGCACCCGGAACCTGAATATGCTGGGCCTCGTAACGGTTTGGCCTTAAGGCCCACTACTTGGTTGCCCCAGTGTGAAAAAAGGCGCATGAAAAGAGGCCGCGTGCCGATCTTAGCAAGGCACATGCTTGCATTAACTGTCTCCAGAGGCCCTAAAGCCCGTAGCGCGGGTCTGCCGCACCGGGAGCCCTAGCCTACCTGCCAGCTTTGGTCCGCCGACGGGAAGAGGTTCTGATCCTCGTTCACTCGGCCCACAGCGTCCAGGGCAAGAAGGTCAAAGTCCGACACAACGCCAACCTGCCCGCCCAACGGAGCGACGGAAAAGCAGCAAATGGAAAACGGTTGCATGATGACTACGATAAAAATCTAGTGTAGGGCAGTGGTTTTAAGCCCATATTGCCGTCATGCCCGCTAATAAGAGTAAAACACGTAAATGGACCTGGGCCTTGCTTAAGGGGGCTTTTCGGCCCCACACTCCCCCGTGTCCCCCGCGTCACATGCTACGCACAATCGGACGCAATTTCGGGCGTTGATATCCGCAAATGACATGCAAAAGCAAACGTCAGGTACCTGGGTGCAGAATTCCACAGCTTCTATCGCCGGAAGAGCAGCCATGTCAGTGATTTACCCAGCGAAGCCACTCCGGGAAATGGGGCTAATTCGTTGGCAGGAAAATCTTTTGCGGTGGCAGAGAATAGGACTGGACTCCTTATTGCCCCTACCACATCTCTTTCCAAAGACGAAAGGTTAGCCCTTGTTACCGTGTCCGTTTCGTGCACCTCAAAGCTTACCACACGATTCTCAGCGTCCACGACCGGGAGACCTACAGAACAGCGGTGCCGTTGGGAAGGGGAAATTTGTGTTTTAAAAGGCAGGAGTTAGCAGGATGGACACATCAGACATAAGCTGGATAGATTGGATCGATTCTGTCGCAGTGTGTTCGACAGGAGGTACACGACCTGTCGACGCAACAATCACTAGTGAGCGGAAGTTACGAATTCTGATATACTGTGAAGCGTGAGGAAGGAAAGAACCTTAGCATTTTTGAGCCCCGGACCGGTGCCTGGCCCTGATAAACCCACGCAACGACGCGCACCAGTGATGCGATTCTGCACAAGCAGCTCCAGCGCTGAATCCACGGTATCCTCGGGGTAACAGCTGAAGAGCTTTCCACTTGTCATTACGTCCTTGACGAGGTGAGCCGTCTCAATGGACGCCTGCGTGTACTTACATATTGGCGTCTGTACCATCACCCGATTCGCCCAGTTGCACAGTTCAACTGATTGTACCTTCGCTCTTGCAATCACCATACGTCTGACATTTATGCAGGTTTGTGTGTGCCGAACAGCAGCACGCAAGTTGGCTGGGCGGGTCCTGAGGAGCATTTTATCCCGATTTACTGGTGGGATAAGCCCTGGATCAGTGACGAGTCTCTATCAAGAAATTATGACTAAGTCGCCAATTATCAACTACAAATAATAGCTTCCAACACGCGGGACCAACAAACACAGGGAGCCAATGGCAGATGTAGGAACAGCCTTCGAGGTTCCCGTTGAGAGGCTAAACCTTAGTTGCAATGATACAGTTTCAATATTGTTTGCTGCGTTCCACTGCCCTTTGTCCCATTACTTCTGTTGTACAGTACGGCAACTCGCATTTGCAATAGGAATGCCCAACGTCTGCCATGGGCTCGTGCAAGGATTACGGGAGACTCCTGTGAGAGTTTAGGTGGAGGGTTTGAACAGGTTGTTACGCATCTACTGTAGCCGGGGCTCTTTCGCAAACTGGTAGCTCCTTTAGTGATCCTAGCACCATGAGGCGCCAGGCAGTTAACTGCCTCCGTGGCTTGTGGCGTGCACAAACTGGTAAGATTGGCTTTGCGAAGTGGCCACGCCTTGGGGTCCTGAGCGTCTTGGAGGGCGCACGTTATGCAGGTATCAGCGGTCATGAGGCAAGCAGTCAGACTGGAATTGCTTCAATCGCTACAACGGGTTTGCTAGGCCAGCAGGAGCGCAGCCTGCGGACTAGGTACGTCCGCTTTGCTTCTGAGTTCCGGTGGGCTCGAGGGTTCTTAAGCTGGCTATCCTCGCTTTTACAGTGCTTTGGAGAGACCGTCGCGGATTGCAACCCTATCCGCGCTGCCCTGGTCGCTGCAAGCGGTCCGCACTGCGACTGTGGAAGCACTTGTTCCCGCAAAGGTGAACAACTTCACCCTCAACTTCGGGCCACAGCATCCAGCTGCCCACGGCGTGCTTCGACTGGTGTTGGAGATGAACGGCGAGATTATTACACGTGCTGGTAGGAGCATTCGAGCTCTCCATGGAAGCTGCGAAGCTAGGAGTTTGGAATAACCCAGCCCGCTTGTTCCCACCATAACAGACCCACACATTGGCCTTCTGCATCGTGGAACGGAGAAGCTAATTGAGTACAAGACATACCTCCAGGCCCTCCCATACTTCGACCGCCTGGACTACGTGTCAATGATGTGCATGGAGCACTCGTATGTTCTTGCCATAGAGCAGCTGCTGAACTTAGCAGTGCCGCTGCGTGGGCAGTATATTCGAGTCCTTTACAGTGAAATCACGCGCGTGCTGAACCACCTGCTGGCCATCACTTGCCATGCTATGGACGTGGGTGCGCTGACGCCCTTCCTGTGGGCTTTCGAGGAGCGCGAAAAGCTGTTTGAGTTTTACGAACGCGTCTCGGGTGAGCTCCTTCCGCGCACTCTGGGAAGATGACCGAAAGCAGCTGGACGTTGATGCGCTGTGGGGAGAGCGGCGACCCACGGGCCAGAATACGGCAAAGATTGCAACACAACACGGAGCCCTCGCTTTTCGTCGCGCACTTTCTGCGGCGTCCCATTATGCATCCCACTCGACGCAATAGGCATGCCACTCGATGCGGTGTATTTATGGAGAGTCATACATCCTATGCATGATGTCGTCGATTGGTGGTAGTCGAGTAATCCAAAAAACAACTCCTTACACACGCGCTCCTCACTCCACCATGTCGTGGTGTGTTTTGATGTTGGCTGTCGAAATGCGATAGCTGTGCTCCCACTTTAAACAACAAAAAAAATTGGGGCACCAACACGCAAGGGATGTGGGCTACGTCCGGACATGGAGGACGTAGCGCAGTGATAAGTCTGCCGCCTGCCATCTGCCACGCCGCAGCCCTCTTAAGCACAACATCCATGCCTTACCCCGCCATGGCGTAGCAAGCCAGCCGACATTGGTGCTGCGGGTCATATTTCAGCTAACGTAAGAGTTTCTTTGTCTTCACCATCTCCTCTCTTGTTCCCGTTGTATGTTGCCGAGCTCCCTCCCGTGACCCCTCCACCCCCTCCCCTCCGGATTGCTTCCCTTCCACGCAGGTGCGCGCATGCACGCGGCGTATTTCCGAGTGGGCGGTGTGTCTCAGGACCTGCCCATCGGGCTACTGCGCGACATTTACGATTGGGCACGCCAGTTCAGCAGCCGCTTGGACGAGATTGAGGAGCTGCTGACGGGCAACCGCATCTGGAAGGAGCGGACCGTTGATGTGGGCACCATCACGGCCCAGATGGTAGGGCTGGAAGCTGGGGTCTTGGGCGGAGGCCCCACCACGTTGGGGGTTAGGATTGAGGAAACGGGATATCGGTTAGAAGGGTTGGGCTCGAAGAAGCACCAAGCTTTGAGCCAGGGAGAAGAGGAGGAGAATTGGAGTGAGGGTCAATTAATCGGGTGGTGAGAGGTGAGACGGGGAGCCGAGCGAAAAATGCAAAAGGGTTCATAAGGTGCTTTCTAGGTGGAGTCGGGCTTGTAGAGATTGGGAATGTGGGGTTGAAGTAGGTTGGAAGGGTCTGTGTGTTTTGCGCTATGCGTTCGGTGAGGATGGTGGCAGCGCGGCGGCGGTTGGCGGTTGGCGGCAGGTCGGGGGCAGTTAGGAATCCATCGATGGCTGCGAGTTTTGGAGAAAGTCGAACGCCGACATAGTTTGGGGGCATGAGGCATGTGTGGCGCTCATGGCATGCATCTTGCCTTCGGCTGGGCCTTACCCGGATGAAGCCACTGGCATGTGGCATCGATGTACCGAGCTTCCAAACACCGTACACTAAGGATAACCCGGGTTGCAAATTGGTGGGCGATGCTGTCAAAGCCAAGGTTGCTTGCCTCCAAGTCCTCCGACTGCGAAGTGTCGGGGTTGATTGGGTCTGCACTCTTGTGCAGAATGTGTTGCTTGTGAGCTCGGTGCTTCTATACACTAGCGCGGTCACGATGTGTGACAAGACAAGATATTGCCTTGATTATGCGGTGTTGCCAGCTTTCATCCTTGACGTGAGTACTGATGAAAACTGCTGCCACGTGCCCTACCCAAACGGGACGCCAACCCGTTACAGAAGTATATGTGATCTACGCGATCGACTCAGGACTTGCTTTAGCTGCCAGACTGCTCTAAGCCACCCTCCCCCACCTGCGTTGTCGATGTCGTTTTGACCCCAGGCGTGGGACTGGGGCTGCTCGGGTCCCATTCTGCGCGCCAGCGGCATCGATTGGGACCTGCGCAAGACCCAGCCGTACGACGCATACGGCCGGATGCAGTTCAATGTGCCCATCGCAGGCCACGGCGACTGCTACGACCGCTACCTGGTGCGACTGCAGGAGATGCGTGAAAGCCTGCGCATCATCTATCAGTGCCTCAATGAAATGCCGGACGGGCTGTACAAGAGCCCCGACGCTAAGGTAAGCAAGCAAGTACTGGTTCAGGAAAGGGCAGGAGGAGGAGGAAGGGGGATGAGAATTGAAATTAATGCATGAGAGTTGTATCTAGACCAGGCTGAACAGGTGCTAGGAACAGTGAGGAGGAATTGGCGACGGCCTCTGGACTCGATAGCAACTGGGCTTTACAGTACGCGAGGGCTCCTGTGCCTGCGCAGCTGCGGCTGGGGTTTAGCTGTAGGAATTTTCCAGGCTATGCTTGTCCTCCAGCGTAGCCATCCTGTTGTTGACCAGCTTTTACAGTTTGAGACTCATACATCTCCCCTTCGTGTTCGACGTACTTGTCGTCAATGAATACGGGACATTAGTCGTACCTTTCCACACAAGCCTTCCTCGCTGGCCCGTATTTTGTCCCCGCAGGTGTGCCCGCCCAGCCGCTCGACCATGAAGCAGAGCATGGAGGCCTTGATCCACCACTTCAAGCTGTACACGGAGGGCTTCCATGTGCCGGCTGGGGAGACGTACCGCGCTGTGGAGGCGCCCAAGGGCGAGTTCGGCGTCTATCTGGTGTCGCGGGGTGGCAACCGGCCGTACCGGTGCAAGATTCGTTCGCCGGGCTACGCGCACTTGCAGATGATGGACGTGATCAGCAAGGGCGCAATGTTGGCGGACGTGGTCACCATCATTGGGACCATGGATGTGGTGTTTGGTGAGATTGATAGGTGAAGAGGCAAACGCGGCGTGGCAGCTGGGGTGGTTTGAGGCGGGCCAGGAAATGAGCTTATACGTGTGGGTTCGTGTGCGCGCGGTGTGGAAGCGGGGTAGGTAGCATAGGTCTGCACCGCTGACTGTGGGTTTGGCTGTTATTCTAATTCGGGCACTTGCAGACATGGGCCTGACTTGCGAAAGGCGGGATGGAGATCAAGCGTGTGTATGGGGCGTCGCAAATCTGTCTGGGGCTCTACGCGTGCCAGAAATGTGCGCATTTTCTTGGTTCTTGAGTAGCTGTCACGTTTCGGTTTGACATTTTGATGCGTGTCAGCCGCTGGCACGGGCTAAACGTGCATATAAGTTGTGCATGAACGCTCGGGCGTATTTTCGCCTTGCATATGACATTATCTGGCAAGCCACGTGCAGGCAGGCTCCGTAGCGACGCCGCGGTCAACCGCCCTGGCGGTTCAGACGACGGGTGCTACTAGCATGATCTTGCGTCGCATTTGTAGCGAGATGGTGGTCACGTGTTGCTTGCGTAGATGGGAAATGGATGTCGTTTGGAAATTGGTTTGTGGATTGGTAGCTCGTCAGTCGGACAGTTTGTGTGGGCCTGCTGAGTTGGCGTTCCCCACTGTACCATGATGGTTCTCTGATATCCGGTAACTAGGCATAACAAAAGTGGTCTTAGCGGAATCGACTGCGCTGGTGGTTGAGTGACTCGAATACCCTTAACGGCTACTACTCGTGCATGTCTTACCTGGCGTTTTGCTTTGTAATTGGTGTAGTATGGCTATTTTAGCACAGCTAACCTGTTGTAATCTTAACGCAAGCGTAGCATACGAAAGGTCGGGGTACCTACTGAGTTTGCAGGACGGTGCACGACGGCAAAACCAAGGCAGCCAACGAGTTAGGCGGTGCAGCTTCAATTGGCGTATTTGGATACGTGTAAGGCTTAGGGAAGCGAGACACACGTATCTTTATGTTAACACAAGACGCGGGAATGCAACCGTCCAGACAGATGTCCAAGTTCACCGTAGTTTGATGGATATTGCGTATTGTGCATTTCTTTATGAAGTTAGGAGCTGCGTTTTTGCACAGGGACTGTCTCGACGTATTGGTCCTCCTTTTAGGCGCCTGGGGCATTCGGCCTGTGTGCGCTGCATGGCTCACCAAAGGGTGCTGAAGCGTGGGCGTTAGCGACTCGAACCACAAGTCCGAGGCTCATCAGCTTGTCGGCGCCCTGTCTCTGGGCCGCTGCACCTAAGCTGCGTTTTGATATGGAGCTTTTGAGGACAACAAAGCGATAGGGTTTGCTGAAGGCACGGTTGGGCGAGGTCGCTGAAGCATAAACCAATGCCCCAGGTAGAGTGCAGCGCAACCTGGCTGGCCACGACCTTGTGCAAGTTTACTGGTAACCTGCTTGACCTACTGCGTCATTCCTTTTGGCGTAACGGCACCGGGACTGACAGGGTGGGGCGTCTATCGAATGCACCAGCAGAAAGATATGGTACCAGCTGACGCCATGACGGATCCTAAGGCTAGCCACAGGGTAGGTACCAGAGATGTATCTCCGCTTCGTGTGCTGACTTTGGTACGCGGGATTCCATTGAGCTTCCGACCTGTTGTGTCTTGCAGCTGGCTCCCGTGGTGGCTGGGCAGGATCTGGCGTCGGCTGTGATACAGGACACGGTCAAATATCTGGGCATACAGGCGACTGGGATATCCAACCTGAACGGGCCCTACTTGCAAGTCCGCCCAGTAAGCGTAAGGGAACGGGAACGGGTTACGGTCCCGACCCAGCTCCTGGGCGCCAAGCGGGCGCCCTCACAAACCAATGCCCTCAAACTCCTTGACCCACAAATTGCATCTGCTGGTTATCACATGCTGGGTTAGAGTACCGTGTTCGAGTAATATGAATTTACGATACAGGTCAAAGGGCTGCGTCAAAGCTATCCGTTTACAGTCAAGGCGCTTTCCTCACGTGCCTCCTAGGAGAACTACTGAGTACCCGATTAGATCGCATCACTTTTGACCTCCTGATTTGCAAATCAAATTCCCTATGGCGACGGTTTTGACACAGGCTGGGAGCGACGCGACGGACATACTGCTGGTGGGCAGCTGGCGCGCTCACTTCCCCCCGGGGGGTGATAACAGCGGCCCGGTACTGGACAGCCTGCAACCAGCGTTGCCAAAACCCTTATCTGTGGCGCTCTTGCCACAGACTTCTGGAAGCGATGCCTCGCAGTCCATCCAGGCCGCGCCGAGCGTAGCACCTGCCGAGCATCCTACCATCCTGACCACATCCGGTGCAGCTGCGGCAGCAGCTGGCTCTGGGCCTGGAGACGTAAACCTTGGCAAGCCGCAGAGCCCGCGTTTGCAGTTCGCAAGCTCCGGAGTAATGGCATCGCGTTCCCGAGGCGGCGGGCCCCCCGACCCCATGAGCTTTGATCGCAACCAGCGTGATGACTCGCCGTCAACATACGTACTCGCAGAGCAACAGAGTGTGCGTGGTAGACACGCGGGGCCCATCATTGAGGAATGCCACTCCGATTCCGAGGCGGCAGCGTCTGGAGACCTTGCTCGCAGCTATCTGCAGCACCAGCATCACCACCGCCACCATCACAATCACAACCACCAGCTGTGCCGAAACCTTGGCCATAAGGAGCATCCCCAACAGGAAGCGGCGCCGGTCACTCAAGTCGATGCGTCTGCGGTGGCAGTGACCGTGGACCCAGATCGTATGATGGAGGACGTGCCCGCATTGCAGCAAGGGCTCCCCCCTGAGGGGGGACGCCAGTTGATCTTGGAGGTAGCACATGAGCCTGTAGTTGGCAAGCCAGGAGCGGCTGTGGCGGCATACGGCAAAAATGGGCGCACAGCATTATTGAAAGGTGGGAGTGTATCAAACGCCAGTATCGATGTGGGTCATTTGCTTGTGGCTGCATGCAGATGCCGTCAGGCCACCTGGCTACGTGCGAGAGCAGTTCCGGGGGTCGCCTGCATGTGGTTTTGGGCCGGTTGCTCTAGTTGGGGGTGGACTAGGGCGTCCAATTTGTGGCAGCCTGTCCTAGGTGTGCATTCGGTCCAACGGTGACGTGGGATGTCCTTGCGGCGGCATTGATCTCCCTATGCCCTGTAGGCCCCGGTATAGCGGCGGCAGGAGCCCTGGCCTCGGCAGCCGCAGTGCAGGCCGCGGCCGCGGGCTCAACTCGCTCAACAGCGGTCGTGCCCGTCGCCAACCAATTGGTGGTCAGCCCGCGGCCACGCTCCGAATGGGAGCTGGACCCGACCAAGATTGCCATCGGCCGGCGATTAGCTGTGGGCGGATTTGGGGAAGTGTTTCTGGCCAAGTACGAAGGCACGCTGGTTGCAGTAAAGCGGCTTCTAGCAACGGATTCAGGTGGGTGGTAAGATCGTAGCGTGTGAAGGTCGTCGTGGCACGTTGGCAGGGGATGCGGAGTTGGGACCAGCCACAAGGGAGGATGACCACCGGTGGGTTGTTGTTGTTATTGTTGTTACAGAGTGGGAGGCTTCTGGGCCACTTGAACATACCGTGTGGGTTGTGGAGGGCTGGGTGTAAAGATGCGGGGATGTTGGACCGAGCGCTGCCATGTGCTGAGGGATCGCTCTCACGAAAGTTCCTGCTTCTGCTTCCAGGCCACGATTGGTAGGGAAGGCAAATTCTGACCATTGGTTGTTGGTCATTGGCTGCCACCTATTGTTCATAGATCCGTGTGTCTTTGCCGACGGCCTCCAGATACGGCGCAGCGATTTGTGGACGAGGTCCACATGCTGGCGCGTCTTCGCCATCCCAATTTGCTCCTGGTACGAATATTTATTGCGGGGCATTCTACGGGAGAAGGTGCAGCGCAGTGGTGGTGTCCAGTCATGTGCGGAGTTTTAGCTGCTACGGCAGATAAGGAAAGCGCAATAGGTTGGGGAAATGCTCGTGATCCCAAACATGTGGAGGGTTGGTTGGTATGCAGCTTTGTGTCCCGTTGATGGAATGGAATGCCATCAGCAACGTAACGAGACGGAAGGAGCGGATATTGAACAATTTCGCAGGGTATTATGTGATTCTTGCATCCAGCTTAATGCTCAAACCCGTTACGATGGTCCTGCCTGTGCCCTCCGTCTTGGCTGCGGATTCCGCTATCCAGTTCATGGGTTATACACTGACGCCAGAGCCGTCGATCGTTACCGAGTTCATGGCGCGCGGCAGCCTCTTCCACATCCTGCGTCACGCGGGCAACAGGCCGCCTGATCCTCGCATGCAGCGGGCGGTGGCCATGTCGGTGGCGCGCGGCATGGCGTACCTGCACAGCCGGGCACCGCCCATCCTGCACCTGGACTTGAAAAGTCCCAATGTGCTGGTGGACGACCGGTGGAGGGTGAAAATTGCGGGTTGAGTATTATGGTGTATATAAGCAGATGGCTAGGGCAGGGCACAGCACAGCATATGTTTTGCTGAGCATGAGATCCGCAGCCAAGGGGTTAGTGCCCGTCATAACGCGCATCGGTTTAGAATGCGGTTTCGGCTTTCACATCGTTGTGCGTTGCGTAGGGCGTAGGGCTGTTCACGCGAACTTTGCCTTTAGCGTGACTGTTGGCAATTTAGCGTCGCGGCATTTGCTGGATGGACACACGGAACTGTATTGCAATGGAAAGGCTTTCCAGTCGATTATGTGAAAGCGACACCCTTTGCGGTGCATTAGTCCATCCCTTGAGTTCGCGATTGCAGGTTAGAGCTCACTCATTTCCTTCCGGCTGCTTTTCTTGTCTTGCGCAGATTTTGGTCTGTCGCGTGTGCGCCAGCGGACGTATGTGTCGTCCGGCGCGGCTGCTGGGTCTCCCGAGTGGATGGCCCCGGAGGTGCTTCGCTGCGATCATTACGCTGAGGCCGCGGACGTGTACAGGTAGGGTCGGTACCTAACACGGCCCGAGGGGGAGCCGCTGGTCGTAAACAAATCGGGTCGTGTGCCAACCCTAAAGGGAGCGATAGCACCTGCGGCCGGGCTGTGTTCCGATCTCCAATTCGCGACCAGTTCTTGGACGGTTATAGTGCTGTGTCTGTTTTTCCCTTCTTCTCTCATCTGGCCTTCGCTTCTTTCCTGTCAATTGTTTTTCCTCGCTCTCTTGCTGATAGTGCGCTGTACGAATTATTTCTGGCACGCACGCAGTTATGGAGTGATCCTCTGGGAACTGTTGACCGGACAGGCACCGTGGGCTGACTTGAACGCTATGCAGGTGAGCAAAACCCCATGTAGCAACGGATGTAAGTTTTGGAAAACGTCCTTTTGACAGGTTCATGTCGATATCCCTTTCGCCGTTAGAAGAACTTCTGGTGGGGCGCGCACGTATGTCCCAAGGCACTGTAACGCATATGCTGTGCGCGTGCGGTCCGTTGCGGAAGATGGAGCATGCATAGCTTTTGAACACGGTTATGCATTGCGCTGGTGCAGGATATCGCCGTTTTGACCTCCTCGGCGCAGTTGCTGTGCCTCGCCTTTGCTTCGCCGGTAAATGACCGCATGCCTCATTTGCCCAGTCATTCTTTACTCGCCTGTTTTTTCTTTTGTGTGTGTGTGTGTGTGAGAGTAGGTGGTCGGTGCCGTTGGCTTCGCGCGGCGGAGCCTGCCGGACCCATTCGAGGGCGACGCTGTGCTCCTGCACTTGTGCAAGGCATGTCGTGCCTACGAGCCTGGCCAACGCCCAACGTTTGCGCAAGTGGTTGAGACCTTGGAGAGCCATTTCAGTCCCTTAGCAGTGTCGCCAGGGAACGCGCCGGCCGCGCTGCCAGCGCCTGAGGCCACAGCAGCTGCTCCCCCAGCCGAGCGCACTCCGCCGTCGGGTCCTTCGGCTGTGGGGGGTGCAGCTGGGGAAGGTCGCGGAGCCGGCGGTGCTTCGGCGCCGCTGGACGTCGCGGCATCGGCCTCCATTCGCATTACCCGGCGCCACAGCCTCGCTGCTAGCTCTGACGCTGCGGACGTCCTTGCGTCCGCGGTCGCCGCCACAGGCGGTGGTGGCGGCAGCCTAAGTAGCGGCGGTGGTCCGCCGCGCCTTGATGCACGCTTTACATCCATGCACGAGTCGCCTCGGTCGCGGCGGCGCTATCGCAGCCCGCGTGGGGAGGACATGGTGGGTCCGCCGGCCATCACTGCTCGGCTGCAGGACGGCCGGAAGACGCCATCGCCGAGGACATCTAGCGGCTGGACATGGCAAGGCGGCTCAGATGGTGGGGTTGCGAAAGCAGAGGTGACGGCGACGGGCGGCCCGCAGGTGCAGGGACAGCAGCCTGCGGCTCCTGGCGTGCGGTTAATGCCTGCAGGCGCGTCACCATTCGCCGCCATGGCAGCCGCGGATTTTGCGCCCGACAGTGCGCGTAGCTTGCGCAAGCTGCGTTTGGACGCGATTCGCGGCGCTGCAGCGGCCGGTGGCGCGAGCAGCGACGGGGGAAGCGGTGCACGCGAGGTTAATGGTGACGGCGTTTCGACAGCCGAGCCTCAGTTGATGGATTTAGAGAGCGCTACGGGCACTACAATGGCTACTACACAGCTGCTGTCGGCTGTGGCGACGCAAGGCATGCTGCCGTCGCCACCGGATCAGTTGTGCTGCACCGCGGTGGAAGTAGTGCCCCAGTCGCCGCCACTGCCGGATGTGGTTGTTGACGGTCTTGCGGTTGTTTCGACACCTGCGCACCAGCATAGCGGCCCGCTCGAGCTTGAGCACGGAAACCGGCCGAAAGGTCAGCCCCAGAATACTTGCCAGCATGATCATTCGCAGGAGGTGCCTCAGGATAGACACGACCGGCAAGTACAAACACCAGGTAATGAGCACCAGGCAGTTTGGCCTGCCAAACAGCAACAACTGCAGCACCGGCAGACGGAGCAGCAGCAGGGGCAGCCGCCGATTGCCTTGGAACAGCGTATCCAAAAGGTGCACCAGCAGCAGCAGCAACAGCAGCAGGTTCAGGATCAGCAACAGCCGTCAGAGCAATATTGTGGAAGTGGGCCTCTAAGTCAGCATTCGCTGACGGGGGGCCTATGCAGGCGCCCAGGCCATCGACGCGTGAACAGCGACGAGGCTAGCCGTGTGCAACATCTGAACCCTGCGTTTCACGCTGCCGCTGGGACTGCCGTGCCCGGGGTTGCGGTATCCGCGCCCGGGGTTGCACTGCCACACGCCCAGCATCATCAGCGGCTCCCTGTCACCGGAGCCCCTACAGGGCCCTCTTCTGCAGGCGGCGGGGGAAGCAGCGCAGGTGGCAGCGGCATGCCGCCGCTCCCAGGGCGGCGGAGCCGCGGCCTGGCGCGCAATAGCGCACCAATGCGGTACACGTACGGCGGTTCCTCGTCGGGTGCTGCAGCCTCACAGCTGGTGCACCCGTTGCAGTCGCCGCCGCGTCCTAGGTCCTTCGGTCATGGGCAGACCATGCATCAGCTGGTCCTGACGGCGAATGCCGAGGCAGCTATGGGTGCTGCAGGTATCGGCCCGTACCAGCTGGTACATGTAGGCGCATCAACGCCGGCTACGCCTGGCGTCGGCAGCGGCTCTATTGCTGGCGCGGCGGCGCTGTCGGCGCCTATGTCGCTCAGCCCTGTGGCCGATGGCGGGCCGTGCTTCTCAAGCTCTGGGGGGGCGGACATGGTGATAAGTGCTGGCGGTGCGGGGAGCGGCGGCGGTGGCGCGGATCCCTGGCCAGATACACATAGCGAGCTGAGCTTTGCGTTTATTCTAAGGGATAACGTCAGCATCTGCTCGGATGACTACATGCAGGGCGCGTCGCTTGATAGGCTGCCTCTGCTGGAGGAGAGCGAGATGACGGTACGTTGACCCTTGCACCTGGCGCGTTTCACCATGCATTGAGCCATGCTGGGCCAATGTCTCTTTCGCCCTGAACTCGTACAACAACCGCACCGCACCTGGCAGTTTGCCAGAAGGTGGTTCAGAAACGATAGAAATACTTTGGAACGCTGTTGGTCCATGGCCCCCCCGGCTTTGACGGACACCCCCCCCCCCACACACACACACCCCTGTGCGGACACTGTGGCTGTAACTATTAACTGAAATTTAATCGAGGAGGAAACTTCTGGCGCGGCGTGTTGCTTGACATCCGGAGAGAGCCATACGTATATATTCATGTGTATCGCTCGTGTGTGTTCTTTCACCAGTTGATTCAGGCAGACCTCTTCCAATTCGCTACTATCTGTCTATCTCAGGTACTAACATCGTTTGTAGTTCCTCTTCCGCTGTTAATGATATTACATCCGCAAGCCGCAGACGCCGTGCCAACTGTTTGTTTCGCTACTGCTGACCCCACCGTCTGAATATATCCCCTGGCCCGCGCGCGCCGCCGTGTGTACACGTACGCTGTGTATGATTTCAGGAAGCCACCGGCGAAGACGATCCTGATGATGATGCTGATGGCGGTGCAGTAGCTGCGTCTCAAGAGGCAGCAGACACGCAGGCGAAAACCATCGTGGCCCCTGGAGCTCTGGGAGGCAGTGCGGTGAACACAGATGCCGACTTTGAGCTGCCGCGCCCCTTCCTGAATGCCATGCAGCCGTCTGGATCCAAGCCCCCATCGCCGGGTGTAGCAGAGTGTGCGCAGCCGCCATGGGCGCCCTCAATTGCCTCCCAGAACAGCGAGCGAGCCCCAGAGGGTGACCCATGGGCAGCTCTGCGGGCTCATAGCGTTTCGGGCCTTGGGCTTGCGTCCGCCGGGCACCAGGCTGGCTTACTGGGCCGCAGCGCAAACGGCCCGTCGACACGTTCTTACCGTGTCAGCAGCGGTGGCAGCGGCGCGATCAGCCAGGAAGGCGGCATTGCACCGGATCGTGCGGCGCAGCCAGAGTGCGTGGCTCACCCGTCGAAAGGCAACGGCAAGCAGGCGGCTGGGAAGCCGTTTCAGCGTATGTCCAACGGGGGCGGTGTGAAAACCTACCGCAGCGGCCGCTTCAAGGTGACGATCGAGCCCGCGTGCTCGGACCCGCCGCCGCTGCAACACGCCTCCCTGCCGCAGGCTAATCATCATCCGCAGCCACCCTCCTCCGTTCCTGAGGAGCAGCAGCAGCAGCAGCAGCTTCAGCATTTCATGTCTCTGCCCCAAACGCCAAATCATGGGTTGCCAACGCAGGCTGGCTTTGCGTTCAGCGCGGGCGTGAGTTGTTCTGAAACAGCTGGGGCGGAGCCACCTGCCGTAGGGGGTCCAGTAATGGAGCAATTAATCAGGAGTGAAGACGTTCTAGGGGGCCCGCAACCTCCGCTCCAAACCAATGGCTCGCGGGAGATGGCAACGGCGGCGCCTGTGTCACCGGTGGCGGCTTTTGCTGCTGCGGCATGGCCCGAAAATGCGAGTGCAGTTCCGCAGCCGCAGACAGGGGTAGCGCTTCCACTCAGCGACGGTGCTGGCGGAGGCGGCGAAGGCGGGAGCGGTGCCTGCATCAACGATGACGGTGCTGCGTCGGCCCAGTGCTGCACGGCGCCGGCGGTGATAAGCCCGTTGGGAGAGTCTCCGAGTAGTGCAACTGGCAGATTGCGTAACGGTCACTACCTTCATGCGCACAGCCACTACAGCCATCACCTTCACGGTGAGCTCGCGGCGGGGCCGCCGGTAGCACTCAACAGCGTGACCATGTACCGTAAAGGCCGGTTCTTCGTCTCTCATGCCTCGGCGGGTACACACCTGCTGTCTGTCATTAATCCCAACGCAACACCAGCCCAGACGCAATGCCACGCCGCCACTGGCTGTGGCGGTGGCAGCGCCTCCAATGGTCCCGGTCCGTCCGGAGGCTGCTCCGCGACTGAGTCCTATGCGGAAGAGTCTGAGGAGCATGATGGCGCGAGCGGCCCCACGTCGCCGTTTGCCTGCGCGGTCGCCGCCTCAGCGCCGTTTGGCCGGACAGGGAGCCAGACAGGGTTGGAAGGCAGCGCGCCACAGCTGTTAACCGCTAAGCCGTCGTGGCCCGCGTTGGCGGCTCTAACGGCGGCACAGGACTCGACTCGTCCGAGCCCCATGAGCAGGCAGTACAGCAAGGGGCGGTTCACGGTAGCGGAGTCAATTGTGGCGGCGCCTCCGGCGGATTCACGCCGACCGTCCTCGAACAGCGCAGGGGGAGCAGAGCCGCCAGCCACAGCTGTGGACGCCATCTGGGAGCCAAAGCCGGCATGCCTGGCTGCCGCAGCCGCAGGTGTAAGCGCTGCATCGCCGCAGCCCGATTCCTTTATGGGGCTTCACGGCGTTTTAGAGGATCCTAGGGTCGGCTGTAGCTTTGCGAGGCCAGTGGGGTCGATGCCGACGATCTCGCGTGTAGGTTCTCAGCAGGCAACGCCCCCGCAGACGCTCGTCTCGAGTGTCGACGTCCCGTGCGGCTTGGCGTCAGGTGCTGCCCTGAAGCCCGAATCCGGGCTTGCCGAGCTTGGCGCCGCTGCCGCCGCCGCAGGATGCTGCAGGGGCAGCGGTGGCGGGGGTGCCTGCGGAGGCAGTGGACCGAACACAGCACCCGCAAGCCCACGGGGCGAGCATGTGGTCGTTCGGCGCGTTGGGCGCTTTACCGTTCGCGAGGTGGATGGTGCCTCTAACACGTCTAGCCGGGTCCCGAGCAACAGCGGCACGCCGACTGAAACCGCGCGGGGAGACCCGAATGCTGCAGGTAGGTTCGAACTCCGGTGCAGAAGACTAGAATACTTCCCAGGTTATACGAGGTTCTAAATGCTTTTTCCAATGGATTCCAATTGCTCGGACACCCTCATGCTTTGTTGCTCTCATGCAGTATTTGCGCATATTTTTGTTGGTTTTCCCACAGGTCAAGCTTCTATGGGGGCGCTACCGGGGCCTGCGAGCGCCTGTGGCTGCTCCAAAGCAGCTGGCGTAGCCAGGCTCGGTCACGGCCACGGCCACGGCTCTCCGGCGGAAGACCTTCTGGGCCCATGCAGCCATCACAGCAGCTGTAGCTTTGCGTCAGCATCTGGGTGCAGCCGCAGCAGCTCAGTATCCCACGGCTTGGAGGGGGACCTCTCGCAACCGCCACTGGCATCAGCGGTTCCGCTAGCGCGGGATGGTAGCGCAGGGCACCAGCCAGCAACCCACCGCTCCCCGCAGGGCACACAGCAACTTGGGATCCAGGCCGCGGCAGCCCCGCTGCCCCAATCGACGGAGGCGGCAGGGGTCATCGGTGGCCCAGCTGACCCCCGTGGGCCCAAGGTCCTTCATGTCAAGAGCAAGGGGCGGTTCACTGTAATCGACTATGAGGCACCGCCATTGCCTCTGCATCAGGAGCAGCATGAGGAACAGCAGCAATACCTGCAGCATCTCGGCCATTCGCCAATGGCTATGTCAAACCAGCAGCCGAGGGACAACGGTTGCGGTGTACCGAGCCCTTCGGTTCATATAGGCTGGCCTGGTGGTCCGCCCCGGGACGTTTCCTCGACAGACGTCATGCAGCTAGGGTCTGCAAGTCCAGATCTGTCTGCCCAGCTGCCCGGCAAAGCAGCACCTGCCCATCACGGGAGGTCGGCAGACTTGGCGCGTGAACAAGTTCATCTTCCTGCCCAGCAAGTTGCGGCAGAAGGTCGCGGAGGCGGCCTGCCGCCGCTGCACGGCGGTGTGCTTCACCCGCCGCAGAATCCGCCAAGCGATCGGGGTCTCGGAACGGGGACCCACGAAGCGGTGGCGGCGGTGGCGGAGGAGGATCGTGGGGAGGTCCCGTGGGGGTTGTCCGCAGGTCCGCAGGCTCCGGAGGAGCGCGCTCAGCTACAGGCGGACATGGAGCGGCTTGTGCGGGAGCGCATGGAGCGCAACGCATTGGAGCAGCAGCAGCAGCAGCGGCGGCGGCGGCAGCAGGAGCCGGTGGAGCGGGCGCGCCATCGTCTGGGAAGGCCGGCGGTTGGCGCAGTGGATGAACAGCAACCACCAGAAGGCGCAAGGGATCACCACCCAGGAAATGAGGCAGAAGAGAACGAGGTGGATGAGCGGTGTACGTATGAAGTGACCTTTGGCGACGGGCTGACAATACAAATTAGCCACGGGCTGCAGGGTGCAGGAGACATGGCCGAGGAGGAAGGCGACGAGGGTGAGGACGAGGATGCGGTCATGTTGGATGTCGGGATTGTGCATGAGGATGCGGGGGATGGCGGAAGTGACAGTGACGACGCTGCTGCGGCCGTGCATCGCGGTGACGCGAGAGGCGATGGCACGGATTCCGATGGCGAGCTGCAGCCGCTACTGCCGCCAGAAACGCCAGCCCACGAGCCGGCTCACGAGCGAGAGCGATCTGAATGGGAGGCAGCAGGAGACGGTTCAATTCGCAAGCGGAGGCAACGGCAGCGGAGGCGCCACGGCGGGTACGGCAGCGGGGATAGCAGTGGGTACGACGACTCCATGGAGTTTTGACTACTCTGTCGTTAGGAAGTGATCATTTTTCGTTCTTTGTAGGGTGTCTAGGGAGTCTAGGACAGTATTGATACGATAGGTCATCCTGGTTCATCCCTCTGGTACCGCCGTCGCAAGCTGGCATATTAGGCCCCGAGCAAGGGTCGGTGAAGTGAAGCTATAGCTGTGATAGTAGGGATGCTGAACGGGCAGTTGCAGTACCGAGCAAGTAGAATTATTTGCGGGACCCGCCTGGCGAATGGTTTGGGTTGTGGCGAATGGTTTCTTGGCCAGGTAGCCAGCTACAATTTTCGCCACGGCCAGCTTGCATGCTTTAAGTAGCACTTAGTGATACCAAAAAGTGGTAATTAAGTGCCATCTTGCGGTTTCTTGCTGCCCTCTAATTCAATAGTACTCTTCCTTTGTTACGCTCGAATGTCTGTATATCATAATAGCGCTAGGGATTGGGGCATTGTAAGTCTGTTGGAAAGGACGCAGTGGCGCTTTTGCGTGGCGCTGGGATATGTGACATGCATGGGAGCTGCTGGGGAAGTGGTATGGGCTCCAGAGAATAATGGACGCGTGATAATCGGGTGTGACGTAGAAGCGCTTCACAACGTCCACGTCTAGTATTTCAAATTGTTGGAAGATGTAAACCTGATGCATTCCATGAGCCAAGGCCGAGTTGTTCCGGTCCACCCTATAATTACGGACGCACAGCCGCTGATGTGCGACCTTGCTGGCACTTGTAGAAATCCTGAACTAGCCCACCATTTCACCTGCCTAAAACACTGAGAAGGCAAGAATTGTACATGCCGACTTCTCAAGATCGAGAGAAACAAAATTAGCGAAAGGAAGGATTCTGCTGGATCGTACGTTGCGTCGACAAGGACCACGTGTGAAACGCGCTCAAGTATACGGCTGACCGACAACAAGCCAAGAACCCAAGCAGCTCAAAGAGTAAGCCAGAAGACAAATTTTCATGTCTCTGGTCTTGAGGACTCCGCCGTGCAGCCTTCAGCGAAGGAAGCAGGATTACGGCTGTAGTGCCCACTTAAGGGAATTCAGTACACGCCTTTCAATCAGGCCAGTCAATTACCCGACCCTATGATCGATCCACCATCCAAGGCAAGCAGTCCAATGAATTGCGCGGACCCCGCGACCGCCCGCCGCCACACGTCCGACAGAAAGCCCACCTGGGTTATATTGGCGGCTTTGCAGCGACGGATAGTCATAACATAACAACCGCCCACCGCACGCATTCGTTTATCGGCGTCCCGGCAAGTTTATATAACCACGAAGTCCAAACTGACAGACACACAAGCCCCTCCCAAACAAAAAATTACACCGTTGAAAGGAAAGATCCAGGCAAGGACGGAGAATGCCACGCAAAAAAAACATCTGCTGAACGTTACGGCGCTCTGAAGGAAACGCGACACCGCAGCAGAACCCCGCGCTTGGAAGGGCTCTCCTTCCGGGGCAGTCCAAGATGAGCCCAAGGCTCCTTTTTCCTCAACGACATTTGTCATCGCAACTTGGCGTGTTCCCTTACCGGAAAAACGCCATACAACAACTGGTCAGTATGCCCCTTGTCTCCATGCATACATTTGCCCTGCAATGCTGAACATCAAGCAAGACTAGGGCGCCCAAAGCATGCTATCCGCCCGTACAAGACCGCGATATATTTAGCAAGTTTTGGCATCTCTGGCAACTTAAGAATCCCCTGCGTCGCATGCCTTTGCCAGCGTCTGCGGCCAAAGACCTTTCCACGTCTCCCCCTCCCCCCAGTTCCCACGCACACGCGAAACCACCACATTATACTTTACTGCTTCGCCTTGGCAATTAGCATGCGGTAAAGCTTACTATACAACGCGTAGTACTGTGTCCGATTGGTGTACGACACAATGCCGGTCTGCTCCATGTCGTCAAGGATGTTGGACAGGTTGAGCAAGTCGCGGAGAATGCTCATATACTCCTCGTCGCTCAAGAACTGGCGGCCCTTGGGGTACTGGTCCACAGGTTGCGTATGCTCAGTCACATTGCGGATAATCTCAGCACGGACGTCAGCTGCCAGGAGGATAAAGGGTTTCGGAGCCGCGGGTCGGTTAGAGGGGTCAGGAGGGCAGTGGACGGCGGCGTTGGGGAGCCATATCGAGCTTGCAACCCCGAGGGCAACCGGAGTGGTTAAACACAAGAGCAGAATTGCAAACACAGGACGATGGGACATACGTGCACGTGCATGCAGAGGGTAGTCACGCGCATGAAAAGGAACAATCACGGCGAAAGTTGTGTGACTAAGCGCTTGCACTTAGTGTGTGAGTAAAAAGACGATACTTCGTTTACGAGGCCCAACTGGCAAACCAAAACACCATCAACACCGTTGTGTGTCCGGTGACAAAAAAACATTCAAGCAGCAACCAAGCTCGGTGCTGCTGCTCAGAGCTCGCCCTAAGGCTCCTGAGCTCCACACTCAACGCATCACTGCTCGAGTGCTTCAGCTGACCACCAGCACGGCAACCCCTCCGCCTTGCTCCCTCCAAAACAAGGAGCTCTTCACGAGGGTGCCGCCGCAGCTGGCAGCCCAAGCTAACAAGCCGGCTGCCGACGGCGACCACACAGGCCGAGGTGGGCCGGTAAGCAGCTGCTCATCACGCCAGCAGCAGACGCCATGCAGTCCATGATGATTCTGTCCCCTAAAGGAATGACAACCTAGGCCCCTGTGGAGACATGCTAAGGGCTACGGCCGCAAGGGCTACATACGGCCATAGGGCATTATTGTAGCACCGATGCTTGATGTGCTGCGGCATCTGCTAGCACTGCAGCACCCATGCCGTGGGGTGCATGTCACTAGGGGACACTGGTTCGTAATGCCGCTCGTTGCTGTTGCTTAGTTTTCTAGGAGAGCTCTGCACACGCATGGCCCATGCTGCTCGTTCGTTCCTACTGCAGTCGCGCGGCATCCTTGACTCTCTGCCGTCCGCTATACATGTCATGTCTTGCGTGCTATCTGCGCCCCGAGCAGGTTTTGTCTGCGCACGAGTATACATGTCCTAGGGGGAACCGGAAATGCTGCGTCCGTACCAGTTGTATTGTGGTACACAAGGTGCTCCCGCCTCTGACGCATGTAGGCAACAAGTTCGCTGAGCTGCGGCTCCGGAATGTATCGGAAATCAGGAACTTCGACGACCTCCTCTTTGGGCAGGTACTTCTTGCTGCTGCCCGCGCACATACACATCGGAAGCGCCTCAGCATCAAGTCGCCCGAGAAGGACCCGCCAAAGGGTTAGATGTTGAGCCCTGCTGTGAGGTGTCCCTCCTGTCATGTGCATATCAAGCGGGCTAAGGTCACGCTCGCGCTCGCAGGACCGGAATCCTTCTTTCTGCGGTAAACGGTTCCTGCTTCCATTATTTTTGCAACGTGAACCAAATAACGGCTGTGAATAACTTGCCTTTGTTACGACAGTATCCTTGAACCTCGAGGAGTGGCCCCTCCCCCACCAGAAGCTCTGGCTTTGGCTCGAGTGGGGGAGCCTAATGAGCAAATCTTGCTATAAAAAGATGTTACAGATAATTGATAGGACGCCTCCAGGCATTCGGTGCTCAGCCCTGTAAGGAAGCTGAAGTGTCTGACCCAACGTCCTTCCTTTCAAAAAGGGAGCTCCATTAAACTACAGGGTGCTAAAGAATATTCAGCTAAACAAAATTTCTCTGTCTCAGAACACGTTGGAAGTTTAGGTTCGCCAACTCCAGGGTGGTCACAAGGGTTGACAAGAAGAATCGGCCAGTAATCTGTAAGTACGCACGGCAGTTGGCATCCTAGGCAGACGGTCCGGCCCCATGGTTGTCCAGTCCGTTCTCTTTCAACCGCCCAATCACTTTACGACAGCAAAGGCTCCATGGATTCCAGGAGTGGCGAACACTTCATTTGCCTTGTACACATTTTTATTGTCAGACAAGTAAATTCATAAAGCACAACCGGGGAAAGCTGGGTGTAATTGTCCACATTTATTTTCTTACTCGATTTGCAAGGGCTGTTATGGGTACAAACCTACTGTGGGATTTGAGCTCTTTGGCGACAATAATCCAAGCTTGCCATGGACAGAGTAGCAAACTATAAAAGTAAGGCCTGGCAGTTGCTGACCAAACTTTGTTGGGCTTGAATCCTTTATATCTATGAAGCAAAGGGCGTCCGAAACCACACACTTCGGAAGACATCACTTTAACACAAAGCTACTAAGCCCCTAACTTTTTTACTTTTTGTCGTACACGAAGTACGCCGTACCGGACCTTAAGAGCGCTCCATTTTACTGAGCATGTGCATCAGTCATGCATATCGGCCATGGTCCGGGCGTGGGTTTATCTTTGAATTTGGTTTCACGATAGCTGCCATTCAGGGTATACTTATGGGCATCACAAGGCCCAAGAGGTTACGTGAGCACTCACTTCTTTCGCGATTATTACAGTATCGTCCAGGGTGGCTTGAAAGCATTTGCCTTACATTGTAAACCCTAAGGATGCGTTGTTTTGAAACCTCGGAAAGGAAACTGTTAGCAATGTCATTGCAATGACATGTGTGTTTCTTACCTTCAGGGATAATCCGTGACACGCTTGCAGCCATGAGCTCCAATTTGTGTTGATTAGGGAGCGACCAAATGGCACCGACCTGAGCTAATCGACAAAAGATCAGCACTCTGATAAGCCAAGCCAGTACAGTCCGTCGTACTTCCACGGCTATTGGCTTCAAGTGCGCCTCGTCAAACACATAAGGTCTTTGGTCTCTCCGTCGACGCTTGCGTGCAAAACCATGCTCAGGCTATGGGCGCGCCGTGCGTCCCAAGCCAAACCATCCGCGGGCGACCAACGCCTGCGCGGCTCCCGCGCTGCGCTCGCATCATGTCCCTTCTGCGCAATCGCTGTGGGGGTAGAAAAGCGTTGCATAGTTTTCCAGGCGAGTGCCCTATAGCAAGCAGCGCGCTGCACCCGCAAATAAAAATGTAAGAGCTAAACAGCTGCTGTGCCGCCCCAACGATGCCAATGACCTGCCTTCCTCGCATGTACGTGTTCTCCAATGGTTGTTGGAACCTCTTCCTCTCACCTCTTCCTGACAATCAATTTGGGTTAGCAGCCCTAGAAGTTTCTTCCAACCCAACAAACCTGTTAACCGCAGCCACCCCTATTTTCTATCCATTCATGTCAATCCATGCATTGACTCGCACTGGGTTATGGCGATGAAAACCCATGCGCTTATGATACTCACGCTCGTAAAACAGTAGAAAAAACACGGCTGGCGCTCAAGCTGAAGCTTCAACCCGCTCACCACAATCAACTTCCAAGTGAGCTACGAAAAATGTCGTCCCCACATCCACCTGCCCGCACACGTCTACCCGCCGTACGATACCTTCCAGAACGACCGGCGGGTTGTGTTCCACAGCATCAGGCCCCAGGCCCGAGTGCACCTGCTGGTCATTCCTCACATCGACCACTTCGACAACACAACACTCCCTGGAACCCCCGGACATGGAGCTAGGTGGGGTGGGGACAAGAGCTGGGGAAGGGGGGAAAGACGAACCACGTGAACGAGTGAAGCTGCTGCCAATGAAAGAGTGTACAAGAAGCAGAACTGACCAGCAGGCGGCTTTGAAGGCGGCGACCTCGGGATGATGTAATGATGACGACCGCGGAAACCTACCTACCTAAGCCGCCAAGGCTAAAATAAAATCGGAAGAAAAGCAGTAGAGCTAAGCCGTAAAGAAGTAAGGGTTGGTGTAGAGGCGGCGAAAAAGTAGTAAAGAACTGATGGCGTGAGCTGGAATAAAGTTTGCCGCCGGCCTGGCGGCGGCATTGATGAGGTTGGACCAATACTGGCTGATAAAGCTGGTGACATGCAAGTGCTCCTCCCAAACCCCAACACGCGCCCGACCGACCGGCCGACCCAATTATCCTATTCCGGCTAGCTGACCGACGCAACGCGGCACACCGACAAAGCTCGAACCTCCTCAGACTCACCTGGCCAGGCAGCAGAAGCGGCGGGCAAGGGCATCTTCCCCCTTTCCCCTGGGGAAGGGGAAAGGTTTTTTTTTTCTGAATCTTACGCCTCCGCCGCCGAACACGACCTCGCCCCACATGGCTCCAAACTTGCAACACACTATGACTGACACTCCCCACCCCCTCGAACAGCGTAACCGCCCTCTAAATTATCGCGCATGGCCCGGGCGCGTGTTCACCTTTTTTTCCCAGCTGAGGCGATGGAGCGTGTGGGCAGAAGCCGCTTCCTTCAATACAATAGACGGGGGGAACATGCTCATCCGCCGCCGCCTCCACCAAACTCCGGGCTGCTGGGTACCACACCACTCCGGGCTGCTGGGTACCACACCACTCCGGGCTGCTGGGTACCACACATCCGCACCGGGCACCCGGTGACAGACCTTTTCCTCGGAAGTCTGTCTGTGGATCACTCGCAGCGAGTTTGGGGAGGAGAGGTTGAACCTGGCGAAGGCTTGGTTAGGTTACTAGGGAACTTGGCTACTGGGGTTCTTAGTTAGTCCACGGTCTGGACTTGTAAGGCACCTGGGGTTGCTGTGTGGGGCCCTAATCTTGGCCGAGTCTGGCTCCTAAGCAGCGTATGTTCCTAAGCAGCGTATGTATGGCTCTTTGTTCTTCTCAAACAGCAGCAGCGAGCACTCAGTGCGGCAGGCAAAGTGAAAGGCCCGGAAGGTTCGGCGGAGAGGAGGTGAGATCAGATACCACCTCCGATTAGGTGAATTAATGAAAATGGAGGGGCAAACTCACTTTTGCTCGGGAATGCTGGGGGTGGCTGGGGCTCACGGGCACTCGCCCGTGCCAAGCAAGCTCTTCACCAGGACATCGCTGAGGACATGGGTCCTGACGGCACGGGTGAGGGCATATGTCGGATGTGGGGCGATGCTGCCACCGCGGGTTCTCGTCTCAGGGTTCACTGATACCTCACCCCGAGTTCTTCTTAACTCCCATCGTCATTCGCGGTTTAAGGGCATCTGGACACAAGTGGTGGTTGCACTGCCGCACCCTTCCTTTCAAGCCCTTCTGGACGTGCTGCATGCCTGAGTTCAGCGTCTCTTTTGTCTGCCCTAATTACCCTCCCACACCTTCTCCTACCCCACCTGCTCTGCCGGCCATATGGACAACACCGACGAACGGACGGATGGAACCGAACCATAGGACACATCACTCGTAATACAGCCTGTACTGCCTGGCGTTGCCGTACTCCTCGCCCTGGGCTGTGGTCAAGCACTCAATGCCATGTGTGTGGCTGGCCTCCACAACCCTCATCACCCGGCTGAAAGGCAGCAATGATGTGATCGGCTCCTTGGCGATGGGCAAGACGCGACCAATAGACATGGTTGGCGTGGTCAGGCTCAATAAGGGTCTTACCTCCTATCGAGCTGGCTCGGGTTACTCACATGCTTTTCGATGTGTGGTGCTCAGTGCCTAATGCGGCTGGGTTGCAGGATTACCCCTCCGCCTATGAGGCTCCCCATCCTACACCGCTGTTGCAAGACGCACCCGCACATAATCGAGGCGGAATATAATCGAGGGATATACCGATTCATATATTCCAGGCAGGATGCACCTCGGTCGGGTCTCACACGCCCGGTGAAAATCCCGGTGCGACTGTGCTGCGTAATCCTCAGATCCACAATCCGGATGTGGACTGCCCTCAATCGGATCCAGTCGAACCAGTGATGCAGGTCCCAGCGATAGCTTTACTCAGGTAGAGCCCCCGCCCACTCGAAGTTATGGACGACTTCCGCAGCAGTGCAGTGCTGCATTCAGTTAGCGCTTCGGATCAGCAATGGTTGCAAAAGCCGTCAGCAGCCAGTTTGATAATAAGATCATACCTGTAAATATATATAGGCAGTAATATGAAGCCAGGTTCAGGATAACTACGACAGGAAGGACGAGGACCGAACAGGATGGAACCTCTGACAGACAGACAGACTGGACAGACAGACAGATAGACTGGACAGACAGACAGACAGACAGACTGGACAGACAGACAGACAGACAGACAGACAGACAGACTGGACAGACAGGACAGACAGTCGGTGTCAGGAGCACAACACATAAGCTGACAGGACGCAACAACCCACCCCCCTGCAGATGCAGATGCAACGTCCCCCGTGCACAGCGAGTCACCTGTGAGCAATGGTGTTCGTAGGAACAGAAACACCACAACCGCAACCTTCGACTGCTCCCGCAGACGTGCCTCATCAGGCAATGGTTTCTTAACAGAGGGGTAAAAAACTGCGCGCCCGGCTCCCAGCTACTGTGTTACGAAGTGCTCGTGGACAGTGCCCTTACATCGACCCGTGCCCACCACGCCCTATCCATGGCATAGACGAACAACAGCCGGTACACTAAGCGTTTCTTTGGTTTTAGGGGGTTTTGGGTCAATTTTGTTCCGAAACCAAGGAATGATTTTAAGTCAGGCTAACGAACTACTCCTTCACCGTGAGGTGTTGGGGGGACTCCACAACCCCAAACCCGACCGAGCAATAAAGCACAAGCCTAATTGAAAAGCCGGGCAACGGGCTTTTGGTGGTTCCTTGCGATGAGAAACTGTGTAGCTAGTACGGCACACATAGCACGGCACACATATCGTCGATGAATACGCAATAAGGCGCTCCGCCAGCACCTGTAGAGGCCTTTTCAACGTCCAGCTACTATAGGAACTTATAATGCACATATGCATGCATGCTTGGCAACCTTAGGAATAGCTGGAATACATGGAATAGCTCTCGGGGCCATGTCTGTCCATCTAGGAATGATCGTAATGGATGACGCCCGGTAGGCCGGAAGGATTTTTTCAAAGACCACCCATTCCACCGCCCTGTGTATGTGTGTGTGTGTGTGCAATCAGGCAATGGGCAGGTGGGAGGCTTTCTGCCCCAAGGAATAAATTCGCGCTAGAGGATTCCTTTAACAAACCACCGGCGGGTGCACACCTCCCGAAACCGTGTGCCGCCCAAACCCCCATTCAACCCCAACTTTAGAAACTCATTTTTGGAAAAAATAGGAAGAATTCTCTCATCGGGCGAAGGCTAGAAACAAGAAGCAAGGCCACGCTGACAGCTGGCAAGACGAAAAGCAGGAAATGGTTTCCTGTCACCGTTCGCGCAAAAATTGCATGCGATTAACAGGAAGCTGATATGCATGCATCGGTTGATGGGAAAAGGCGATAAAAGCATTATTGGCCGCTCTACAGCCCGCGAGGCGAGGTCCCAGGACAGGGCCCAGCCTCTCCAGCAAGCATTCAGCACTGAGCGCCATTTTAACCTGGCTTTTGCGGTATAGTTTTCCGCGGTTTGTGTTTTAGGAGGTCAGGATTACCCATCAGGATGTTTTACGCGCGCACACGCTGGCACTTCTGTTTCGCAGGTGGTCTCAATACAAGCTTAGAGCATATGACCAGAGAGCTGGTTATGATGGCCTTTACCAGAATAAAGCAGTCTTGGTAATAGCTCGTGCCACGTCGCGAAGTAGCTAGAAGCTGTGCTTGTCTTCAGCGATATCCCCATAACGCATGTTACAAATAAACTTAGCTTCCCTGTCTTATGCATGACATATTCAACGATGTTACACGCCCTTCAAGGTGTGCATCAAGGACCCATGGGACTGGCAGATATTCCCACATACATACAAAGACTTTGGGATTTACATCATGTCTTGATGCTATCGAGTCCATAATGCGAATTTTGGGTTAAACGATAAAGTCCTAGCGTCGTGTTTGGCGCGACCTGTAATCAAGGCAAGTCACAAGGGTTAAACGATTAGCCTGGGAAATATCTATACTCTTTGCAATAATTTTCTCATGGACGAGCGAGCACATCTACTGCTCATGGCACACCGTAGATGAACAAACGCAAAGAGTGGTCGGCTTGTTGCACTAGCATCTTGCTACCTCTCCTCACAAATTTGAAATTAAGCTTATTGCAACGTTTCCTTACAATAGCCATTAGTAGTCATCGCTGCGATTATGGTCTTTCGGAGCTGAACACCATCGCCAAAAAAAGCTGACAGCCCCCTTGCGGGCGCAGGGAGGCAGATGTAGCACAGAGTCATTGTTTTGAAAGATCGATCGCTTTCAGTTTGGGTGGCCAAGGCATGCAGGGTCTTCAGCCTAGGGCATTCTCTAACCCATCGCAATGAGGAGATACACAGGCCGCGCACTTCTGGCAGCCGCCGCCCTCGCGGCCGAGGCCTACAGCAGCCTCAGCCCCGCAGGTGAGAAGTATTTGGACCGACGATGTGCTGCCTGCAGGAGTGCCGTCCTGCGTGGCGGCGCACCTTGGTGTTTCGCCCACCAAACCCCTCCATGATTTCACCCGCCCGTAATAAACCCCCACGCCGCAGCTCGGGCCCAGTATCGACAACTCAGGCGCTCTTTCAGGGCTTACATGAAAATCACTCCCTTAGTCCTAAACTAAACTATGCGCAAATGCCTCTCGCGTTTTCAGTTCAACACAGCCGTCGGGCAGTGTTGGGTACTTTGCGTCACATCACATAAGAGACCGCGGAGCAACACTAGAGGGTGATTTTAAGAAACGAACTCCTCCTTGGCTAACGACTAAATAACATCCCTCGGGTGCATTTCTCGTCTGATAACTTCACATCGCGCAACGCACTACCACGCTTTGGACATCCGTCCATGACGCGTCACAAACAAGCGTGTGTGTTTTGCCACATTGTGAACATTACCCGGGGAAACAGGTGCACTCTTCCTGGCGCTCTTCCTTGCCTGGGGCGCGTTGGCCACGCGCTCCTCCCTCGCGCCCGCACGAGCCGCTGCACGCACCAACCTGGTGCTTTGGTCCTGCGCCGCCGCCGCGGCCTGTGCCGTGCTTCTGCTACAGCTGCTGCTGCCTCTGCTGCCGTACAACGGCATCGGACCAGGCTCAACGCTGTGGGCAGTACTGGGGCTCCGAAACCTGTCACAGTGCAGCGCCTGGGAGCTGCTAGCGGTACGACGACGCTGAGGAGTAATCTGTATTAGAAGCTCGATTTCGGTGACTTGCCGGCAGCAGACTTGCTGTTAACAGAAAAACTTTTTTTGTTGGCATATATCTCGTGAAGTACGACATCACGGATATTTTAATTACAAATATGCGTACGGCTATTTAGGTTTACATGACACCTATCAACAACCTACTACCGCCATCAAAACGCTCATTGAAATTCCCGACAGCAGGGCTCGGCAGTCCAGCCTTGTGCGGTTGCCATTTAAGTTGTCTCATGTGGTGTGGAGGCAAAGAAAGGGAAATAACGTCTAACCACCAACTAACCGCCTTCTCGTGTATATAACCCATATAACTCTAATTCTGGATACGGAATGGCCGACGCCGCCAGGTCCTCTCGCCGCCGCTGCTTTGCGCACTTACGGCGCTGGCGGAGGCGCAGGATGCTCACACAGCTTGCTGTGGCGGCGGCAGTGGCAGGGGGGCCGGCGGCGGCACAGTGGGTGGCGGCGGCGGGGCCGGCGGGGCCGGCGGCGGCACAGTGGGTGGCGGCGGCGGCGGCGGGGCCGGCGGGGGCGGCGGCGGCACAGTGGGTGGCGGCGGCGGCGGCAGCACGTCTGAAGTCTGTAAGGCTATCCTGGAGCACCGTACGACGGCGACTCGCTCCGCTTGTCCTCCCAATAGCGCTTGGTCAGCTGGCAGCGGCGGCGCCGCCGCCTCCGCCGCGGGTCTGCTCGTGGTTCTCGCAGCATTGCTGTGGCCGGCGGTGTTCAATCTGCCATGGCTCCTGCTAGCATCGTACGGCATAGCTGCTTGGGCGTTACGGCTGAGCCTTCCTCTCGCCACACACGCACCGCTGTTGCGCTTGTTACAACTGTACTGCGGCGTCGCGCTGGCGGCGTTGTACGGCTGGCAGCTACAACCCCCCGACGCCTGGCACCCCATGGTGGCCAGCGGTGGCCGGGCTCTAGGACTATACCGCCTGTACGGCGCAGCGGCAACACAAGACGTGGACGACATTGTCCTGATGGCGCTGCACGCCGGAACGCTGACGGCGCTGTACGCGGCGCTGGGATTCGCCGCCGGCGCGGCGGGGGAGGCTTGGCGGCGCCGTCGGCTTCGACATGCGACTCGCGTGTCACTGGCCTCATCCGGATGGCCGCCGTCCTCTAGTTCCAGAAACCTCACGGTAGGTACGACTGTACGGCACGGCCGCGTCGACACTGCTCTTCGGGAGCCGCTGCTGCCCCCGTCACCCCCGGCCCCCGAGGCCCTTCCGCTCGCTGCCAGTGCGTCACCAGCTGGCGCCGCCAGCTCCCCCCTCCGCAGCCCCTTAGCCGCAACCGCCGCCAGTGGCTCTTTCCGCCCCTTAAGCCCCGCAGCAGCGGAAGGTCCTTCCACCGTGGCACCTGGGGATGGCGCCATCCCCCCTTCACATCCCCCAGTGCTCGCCAGTGGTTCGTCTTTACCCCCCTCCCACCCCGCGGAGCTGCATCACCGCGGTATCAGCGACCGCGGAGGGCTACAGCTACAGCTACAGCTACAGCTACAGCCACAGATCCAAGCCAGCCGTCATCAGGGACAGGACCCAAGCCTGCGAGATCATCACCAGCCGCCGCCGCCGCAGCAGCAGCAGCAGCATCAGACCAGGGCGGCATGGCAGCAGCCGACTCACCACCAGCAGCAGCACCAACACCAACACCACGGCGGCGGCTGCGGCGGCGGCCCTGCGGTACTCGCTCGCGCGGCGGCGTGGTCGATTGAGGCGGTGGAGGGGCTGAGCCGCCACCCCGGTATGGCCGCCGTGGCGCTGGCGGGTCTTAGCATGGTGGAGGTGTCCGTGTTGGGCTGGGTGCTGCTGGCGGTGGGCATGTGGGCGCTGCTGGTACCGGGAAGGTGAGGAGTAGTTGGCGTGTATGGTGGTTATGTGGTTCCGGAGCCAGAGGGGAGGTACGGGGAGGTACGGCAGACGGATAGAATGGAAGGGTGGGAGGGAGGGTGGGAGGGAGGGGAGGAGCCCCCCTCCCACCCTCCCTCCCACCCAAACTGTTTTATGTGTAGGTGTTTGGGGGTTTAGGGGTTTAGGCCTAAGTCATGGAGGGAGGGGGGCGAAGGGGAGGGAAGGAAGGGGCACGGAATGCCAACCGAAGGATTGTCCGAGCGGCGGCGGCGGCGGCGGCGGCGGCGGCGGCAATATGGAGCCCAGCGTTGCGTTGAAGAGCGCCGCGGACGTTGTGGAGCATGCGGACCGAGTGTACGGGAAGTACGGCACATCGTACTTCACCCACGCCTGCAAAAACTGCCTCTCGGAAGCGGAGTGCAGTTAATATGCCTGCGTTGGGAAAAGCGTGCGTGCGCATATTCCCTTCTTGCCCTTTTGAAATTACTTATCTCGTCGCTTTCTTTGGTTTCGGTGCTGCCCTTAATGTGACAGTATTTATCTTATTTATTGTCCTGCTTTGAATGATAAATCTTTTCTTTGTTTGTTTGTTTTATATGACATATTAGGTGCGGTCGGAAGGTGCTACGGCGCGCCAGCCCGGTATTGACGCTGCTCCTGCTGGTATGGAATACGGCAGTGTACGTCGTCACGTGCCTATCGGCGTCGTACCCTCATCTGCTACCGCCCGTACTGCACTCGCTGGGGCTCTTCATGTACGTCAGTCCGCCACCTGTCGTATTGCCTCTCTTGGGACATGCGTTTGCAATCGTGGCCATGGCCGGACTTTCGCGAAGTAGTACGGCAGGCAGGACGAGCAACAGTGAATCTGGCGGCGGCGGCGGTGCTAGCGCTAATGCTAGCGCAGGCCGGGGGCGGGACGCTGGCAACATCGTCGTCAGCAGTAGCAGCTGCAGCGTCGGCGGCGGAGCTGGGGGCCGCCATGACAGCGTCGCGAACACCTCTCTGGGCCTTACGTTCGTACTGGCACTGTACCACATCCTCCATGTGCTCGTACCTGTGAGCTGGATCCTGATCGGGTCGTACAAGCTAGATCTCCTGCATGGAGTGTACTTGCTGGCCGTACTGTTATACTGCGGCTCTACGGCCGTACGGCTAATTCCTGACCCAAGGGTCGGCGCAATCATGCCGGAGGTCCGACAGAGAGAGGGCGTCGTACATGGCCGTGTCCCCCATCGTGCCGCTTCCAGCAGCGACGACGACGTCGCAGGCGATGTCGCCGTTGGCGGCGGCGGCAACGGTGGCAGTGGGACCAGCGGCGGCGTGAGTTATGCGTTGTCGTACCCATTTCCGGCGACGCCGCCGGCGCATTCTATGCTGCGCCTGTACGCGTCCTTGCACCTGCTGGCATTGTACGCGGCTATGTGCGGGCAGCTCCCGGGTCTGGGCTTCCTACAACCTGACCCGTGGGTCACTACACTTCGGCTGGTGGGCCTGTGGGCACCGTGCCGTACGGCAGATTGTTTGCCTTTACTGGCCACGCTAGTACTGGCGACGGTGCATGCGGTGGCGGGCAAGTTCCTGAAGGTCGTTGGCGCCGCCAACGGCAAACCGCCAGCGGCAGCCGAGAGCTCACAGCAGCTACAGCCATCGCCGCCGCCGCCGCCGCCGCAGCAGCAGCAGAATCCGGCGGGTAGGGCGGCTGTAGTCCAGCACTGGCTTCTAGCCCTGGGATCCACACTAGCAGATTTAACATCGTCAGCAGGATACCTACTGCTCGCCGTACTGTTGTACGTGCTCGTCCTGTACGATGTACGGATAGGGCTTCTGGGATTGGGCTACATGGTGCTGGGCGTGCCGCTGCTGCTGGGCCCGCCTCGCCGCGGCCATTACGTGGGGCTACTACTGCTTCGACAACGACGGAGGTATATCGCATAGCCGGGAGCGGAGTGGGAGCTCCAGGGGGGGAGCAGGGGGCGGGTGTACGACGAAGCACAGACGATAGGCAAATATAGTCTAGGGGAAAACAAATACTGCATCAGGAATATATTCACTGACCAGCTCGGGGGGGAGGGGGATTTAGAGGAGAAGGGTTCTTAAGGGGTTTCCCCCCACGTGGTTGCGAGGGCCACATGTTTTTTGTGTCGTACAAGTACGTGCTGCGTGCGTGGTTGAAAATACGTTCTGTCGTACATCATTTACCTGGGCCACACCAGCCATCGTATGTGTACGAATCGTATAACCGTCACCTGGTACGATTTTTGTTTTTTGCATGTTGACCCCTCGTGTTGTCTTGTCTTATCTCAGTCCTGACGCTTTATAAATTCCCTCCGATCCCGGGTTGGACGTGATGTTTTGTTTTTAGTAGTAGTGCTTTGTTATGTTTTAAGTAATAAAGAAATTCTTAACAGGTTAAGCCGTATGTTTCTGGTTTTTAATTCGTTTGTTATTAACTCCGTCCTCGTCCTCGTCCTCGTCATCGTCATCGTAGATAAGTAATATTAGGTAAAATGATCGGTGTATCTCTTTCGTAGGTCTGGTCTGTTGCCTGATCAAGCTCAGGCGCCGCGCCCTTCCATCGTACCCTGGCGCTGTGGCGAGTTGATGATGGCTCGAGTCAGCTGGCTGGCGTTGGCGGTGCTCGCTCTGTACTGCGGACTCGACCTGTGCATGTCGTACGGCGCAGCGATGCTAGCTGTGTACGGCCCATGGCCGCCGGGAGGGGGTGGCGGCGGCGACAAGGAGGGTTCGGCGGCAGCAGCCGCCGCGGCAAGGGCCGCAGAATGGTGGTGGCGGCTGGTGGCGCTGATGTACGGCGAGGTGCCGCCGCCGGCGTCTGACGTGGCGCTGATCTTGGCGCTGGCGCGGCCGTCATGTCTGCTGCTGGTTATGCAGCTGTACAGGTGCGGAGGCAGCGTGTACGGCATTAGCCCGTTGTGACATTTTCGAAATTTTCAAGCGTCTCCTCTTTGAAGTGCGTCTGTATGTACATGTGCAGGTGGGCCTTTGCTGCGTCTGCCGTACGCAAGTGGATGCAGCGCTGCGACGACGAGTGCGCCGCCGTGGCCGTGGAGGCGACTGGACTGCCGGCGCCGTCATTGCCCGCATCCGCTGCCATCCCCGCCGCCGCCGCCGCCGCGTTGTCCACGTCAGATTATCTACGGCGGCGGCGGCGGCTAGCCAAGCAATCCTCCGTCGCCTGGTTTGCCAAACGATGGATCATACTTAACGTGGACTTACTGACAGGAGTTTTGTTGTTCGGCATCGCGATGACGTTGCCGGGGGCCTTATCGCTGGGCCTAATGGCGGCGGCCGTCACCGCCGCTCAGGCCGCTGTCTGGCGCGCCGCCGCCGCCGCCGAACGGCAGCCGGCGGCATCGCGGCGGCGCGACACCGCCGTCGGGTTCTTCACGCTTGCGCCGCTGCTGCTGGCGGCGGCGCTGTTGACGCTGTACGGCTTGCAGCTGGCCCCGGTGGCGGGCTGGGTGAGGGCGGTTTCGGAGCCGCCGGGTGGCGGCGAGGGGTACCGTCCCTGGAGCCCAGCCGCTGCTTTGGACTGGCTGGGGCTGCCGCTGTGTGGTGCCTCTAGCGGGGTGCCGCCGCCGCCGCCGCCACCGCCGTCGCCGTCGCCTCAATCGCAGCCGTCCTCGTCACCGCCGCCGCGGAATCCACCGCTACCTTTGGCAACGCTGTCACCGCCGCCGCCACCATCATTGTTGCCTTCGGCAACGCCACCCCAGCCGTCACCGTTACCTTCCTCACCGCACTCGCCGTGGTCACCGCAACCGTCACCTTCGTCACCGCAGTCGCCGCCGCCACCGCCACCTTCGCCACCGCCACCGTGGCCGTCAGCATCGCCGCCGTGGCCGCCGCCACCGCCACCGCCACCTTCGCCACCGGCGCCGCGCCCATTAGCATCGCCGCCGCCGCAGTGGCCGCCGCCACAGCCATCTTCACCACCGCCACCGCGGCCGTCAGCATCGCCGCCGCCGCCGTCGCTACCGTCATCATCATCTTTGTCATCGCCACCGCGGCCGTCAGCATCGCCGCCGCTGCCGTCGCTACCGTCACCATTATCTTCGCCACCGCTGCCGCGGCCGCCGGCATCGCCGCCGCCGCCGCCGCGTCACCATTATCTTCACCACCGCCGCCGCGGCCGCCAGCATCGCCGCCGCCGCCGCCGTCACCATTATCTTCGCCACCGCTGCCGCGGCCGCCGGCATCGCCCCGCCGCCGCGCCGCCGTCACCATTATCTTCGCCACCGCTGCCGCGGCCGCCGGCATCGCCGCCGCCGCCGCCGCCGCCGTCACCATTATCTTCACCACCGCCGCCGCGGCCGCCAGCATCGCCGCCGCCGCCGTCGCCGCCGTCACTATTACCTTCGCCACCGCCTCCGCGGCCGCCAGCATTGCCGCCACCGCCGTCGCCGCCGCCACCGTCACTTTCGCCACCGCCGCCGCGGCCGTCACGGCTACCTTCAGTGTCACCATTGCCGCCGCCACCGTTACCGTCGTCACCGCCGCCGTACCCAACAGCGGTGGACCGCCTTCGTGAACTGCTTTACCCCACTACAGAGGCGTCGGCAATTGGAAGCCCGGCCAGCGCCGCAGCAGCGTTGACGGCGCCGCTGCGTCGGCTGATGTCTAGGGCCACGGCTGCTGCGGTCGCTGCGGCCGCCAGCGCCGGCGGCAGCGGCGGCGAGTGCTCGCCAACGCCGGGCCTGCGTCTCCGTTTGGGCTTGGGTCTGCTCGCACTGGCGGCGCTGGCGTTACGTGGCAAGGCGCGCAGGTACCGCGGGGGTCCAGCCTGTGATGGTGTGATTGGGATTTCCGGGATATGCGGGGGAAGAGGTGATGGATATATCCCAATAAATCCCAATAATATAATACATACATCCCAGTTTTATAACAAATTCCGATTTCATAAAATATCTTCCAGTCTAAATCCGCAACACAGAGCCAATAAATAAACATATTTTCCTGATCATTCCTGAACCTCCCCGACTTGTAGCGACGGTACCAGATCTCGCATTACGGATTGCGCCTTCCTAAATCCAACAATTCGTTTGAGATCAACGGTTTTTACGACGTTTTTTACGACGCTTGGACTCTAAATCCAACAAAATAAATTGCGGCCTCCTGGTAACTTGCCCGGTGGTGTGGTCACCTGCCAGGTGGCGCACCAAGTTGCCTCGGGAGCTGGCGGCAGCGGCGGCGCCTGGTCAGCCGTGTTGCCTGTTTTGGCCACCGCCGGGGAGCAGGCCAGACGCCGCGGCGGCGGCAACCTGGCCGCCCCTGGGCCGCCGAGTACCGCTCCAAACTGTACGGCGGGTGCTGGCTCCGGTGGCTTCTGTAACCAACCAGGTTGGGCCTTATGGCAACACTGCCTTCTGAATGACATTTATTTATTTTCCATTTATCTTAGGCTATATTTTTTATTTTTCTAGTACACACAGAGATATCCCATAACGCTGTATCTATCTATGTAACCACATATCTATCTATCTATTTATTTATCTATTTACCATCTACATACCTATCATCCATCCATCCATTCATAATGAAATAATGCCGCCGTACGAAAACAGGTTTTGTCACGACTTGGACGCGGAGCGTACGACGTCTTGAAGGTACGATGTCCTGAAGTCACGCCGCGTTGTATTCTGTCGCACTGTCGTACGCTGCGCATTGACACACTGGTAGCGGCACACACGACCCGGCCTCTCTCTTTGAGGGGGCGGACGAGGGCGGGGAGGGGGGGAAAAGGTACGGCGAAACACAGACGATTGAGGAGAAGAAAAACTTTTCTGGTTCCAAATCCCACGTGTTTTTTGTTCACTGCATCACTGAATCGTGTGGCAGGATCTGTTTTTGGAGCCGTCGTACTTTTGCTTTTTTTATAAATCGTACTTGTAAATCGTACTCGCCGATCTCCTCTATGGTGCGGCATCACCTCATTCTCGTGTTGTGTCCTGTTTAGGCAATGGACGTCCCCGCCGAGCAGCTGGTGGCTCCCCCCGCCACGGGGGATGTGGGCGCTAGCGGAGGTGCAGACGGCAAGGCAGGCGAGGAGGACGCGGACCAGCAGATGCAAGGAGAACGGGAGACGCCGGCGGCGGCAGCGGCAGCGGCTGCCGCCGGCAGCGGCGGCAACATGGAATCGCCGCGACGGCCAGCAGCGGCCGCATCCTCCACCGCCGCGGCGGCAGGTACGCCGGCGTCAAGTACGCCGGCCTTGCCGTCGTACGACGACGCTGCAAGACCCGGCACACCCAATGCGCCGCTGCCTCTGAAGCACTACTACGGCGGCGGCGGCGGCGGGGGCGGCAACGGCGCCGCTGACATGGCTAGCCGTGTGCTTGTGTTCGTACAGCTGGTGACGCGGGGCGTTATGGATGCATGGGAGGGCGCCTGGGTGGAATGGGGCGGCGAGGTGGCCTTGCTGTCCCTGCTGCTGGCGGCCTTCACGAGCTGCAGCGTGATGTCGCTGCCGCTGCTGGCGGCGCTCGGGCTGGGCATGGCAGCGAGGTGTGCGGTACTCGTGGCTTAGTTCCCTTGGTTGGTTGGTCCTGGTTGATTAGCTGGTTAGTAGGTTGGTGCTGGTTGTGGTTTTTTCGTGTGGGATGGTCCTCTATTTCGGCGGATGATGGGTCCTCTATATTTCCGCAAAAGCGGGTCAGCTTCGGGAACGACTCTCTCCATACTCTCTATATATTTCTGCTTTCGGCGGGAGTTTCGGGAGTTCGTACGACTCGTTGCGCCGGAACCATTTGCCGATGTGTCTGTCTGGCTGGTACGAATTCCACGCAGGCAGCTCCTAAACCGTTTGTTTTCAGAGAGCCTCGCCATGCGCCCTACTGCCGCTACCAGCAGCACGAGCACCACCACATCCACATCTGCAAATCCCACAGCGAAACCCAAAACCCTAACTCCTCTAC